TCTGGTTATGAAAATGTGAAATGAATTGGGATTGCAAACTTTAATTTTTATCTCTTTTATCACTAAGAAAATTCGTTAATTCACAATTTTGTGATATTAATTATTTCCTTGCAAACGAAAATTGACGAAAGAATCCGATCCAAAATAATATGCCAGACATGAATCTGTTGTGGACTACTTTGAGAAGTTGAAAAGAAGACAATCATAAAAAATTCCTAAAGACCTTGAAATATTATAAAAAATCAAGTATACACCTATTAAATCATTAAAATTTGCAAAATATTTTTCATTTATTATTAAAAAATATTTCTTTTATTTAATTATCTGAATTCATACCCTAGTGACCAGGGCAAATTAAATTCCTATTGTAAGCTTTAGGTGAATCATTTTACACTAAAAAAGCCCATTAAAATTTATTTGATCTCTCGATCATTTCAAAAAAGACCTTCGCATTAAACTTCTTCATTTTCTTGAGAATGATAAAAAGTCAATAGATCAGCACTGAAACAAACCATAATAAAAAGTGTTTATTAGCAAAGATTTAAAACCATTTGCATTACTTCCAATATCAATTTTCTTTGCACAAAATTTGATGCATAAAATAATCGGAAAAGAAGTTTTTCTGGAAAGTAATTAGGAATATGAAAGAAACAACACAAAACTTATTATGAACTAATTAAATATTAATATCAATCATCTCGAGAATATAATTAAGTCAGATGCACCGACTTAAGTTTTAAGTTCATTGAATGAATTAATTATTCCAGTATTTGATCGATTAATCAAGCTCTATTCACTTGTTACTTCTCAATCTAAATTTTTCAAATAAACTCCAGGTTTTACAACCTTTTTAAAAATTATAAAAATAATATTTGAGATAGTAGAATGAATCGCTTTCATTAAGAACGTAATATTTATTTTAATTTTCAAATATGAGTTCATCAGTCCATATAGAAATAAATCATGCATAAATTTAAAAAATAAAATTTTGAAACTGAGATGCATTAATTTTAAGTCTCAATTTTAATTCAGGAAATATAAATTAAAAATTTTTTCTGAACAATTTCTCAGAAAATGCGGAAAATAGTTGATTAAGGTTAATCAGTTATGCCAGAACTACTGCACTTATTTTCCTGCAAAATCCGCAAAGCGATTAGTTGAACCAAACATTCTATGGATTTTAATTTTGCTTGAATTTTCTTCTATTGTTTTGTTCCTCTCTCCTCATGAAACCTAATATTTAAATGTTGGAATTACTAGAAGAGAAAAAAGAAAGGAAGTTTAAATATGGAACAAATGCAACGTTTTTAAATAATTATCTGTTCCTAAATAATAATTATTTTCTAAAAATAACATTCTTTTCATATTCATTTTAATCGGCCTTGGATTTCTATACATCTTTACGTGATTCTCATTCGTTACTGTAGACGTAAAGAAACACATAATAGTTCCTCAACAGATTAAAAAAATTATTTGTCATTTGATTGAATCAGCAAAGTGAATACATGTTCAGATGAAAGTTAAGTTAACTAAACAGATCTAATGCCTTCAAACATTGTTGTTACCATCCGACTGCGCTAAAGATTTCAGAGGATATGATGATGCAATTAAGAGAAAATGATCAAAAGACATGTTTCCGTAAAACATATCAGTGATCCAGTTCTTATGACATTTTAACGTGATGCGAAATTCAATCGTAATAGTATATATGGGCGGAGAAAAGACTAAAGAAAAGATCTAAAGTAATTAAGAGAAACTAATTGCTTATAAACATTAGAAAAATCTGAATTCTTCATCAATTACGTATTGGCTAAATTCGATCGTTCACTTGCGTCACAATTGCGCCGAATGAGACATCCTTTCGTCTTTTCATGAAGGAAGAACAGATGCAATATTGTTTGCATATTTCATTACTATTTAACCGTTCAACAATAACTTATATCATCAATAAGTATCATCCATAACCGATACTTATTTCTGATTTTTGCCATCTTCATTATAGTTTCGTTTTAAATTCTCTTGACACTTAATACTTTTTCATTTTCTGGACACTTATTTCTTTCTTGTCATCTTTTTCCTTGATGACATTTCTTTGCTCTTTTTGACATCTTAATCTTCATCGTCATAACGTTTTACCTGAATGGTTTTTTTTTTTTTCTTTTTGTTTATATGGGAAGATTATATTGTTAAAAACAAGTTAAATTCATACTTTTAGCATGTGCTTCCTAAATGGCTTCATTTTATGGTCTACTAATGAGTCTATTTCGAAAAACTAAGACCTACAGATAACATACAGGCGGTACCAAGTTAATTAACTTAGTTAATTATAGAACATTCTAACACTGCAACTGCCAGCCTCCTTAAACTGTACTTACATCGTTTCACATTGATGACTTATTTGTGATATATGAAGGATAATTATATAACATAATATGTTGTTCATGTATGTCAATTTTTTTACTTTTATCATAAAGAAATTTTTAAACAATTAATATTTAAATCAAAAGAATAATTAAATTGTCATTGAAAGCAGCAACAAATGATAAATATTCCACCAAAGAATAAATAGATAAAAAAGAGCGGTAAAAAATCCAAGTTGAAAAAGGAAACGGAAATGAAATATTGGACGAAAATAGGTTACCAATGAAATTTGCATAATCAAAGTAAAGAAATACATTCACTATTTTCCCATCAAATAGCTAACCTTGACTTTTGCATCATTCAATTCTTTTTCATTACGCTAACGGTTCAAGAAATTCAAACCTGAAACCTGATAAAAATAATTGTTTTAATCGCCCTTTCTTTATTATCCGATTATTTGCTTTCATTTAGTCTTTTCTCGATTTTCCGTCGTCCCTCACTGTTCTTTGCTTTCTCTATTGACCTTTTTAATATTAGCTATGACAGGAATTCTTTCTACCGGAATGTAAGAGCTGTATTTATTTAGTATTTAGTATTTACATAATATCAAAAAAGAAATTTAAAAAATGACTTGAATGTGCTCTGCTTTTATTTTATTTCACTTATCATGAATACAGGCTAGAAATAACTACCTATTCCCTTCCGTGTTACTTTCCTGCATCTTAGTTGACTGATTATCCTTTAATTAGTAATTCAGAACTTGAACATTATTTTCCAGTGTTTCTCTCCATTTCCGGTTGTCGATGTTTCATTGAATTTGGTACACAATGTACCCACTACTCTTCATTTTATCCTTTCGCACATACTTTTCAAGCTTTCAATTAAGATAGATTCATCATTTATTACAAAATAATTTGTCTCAAAGATAAGCTTTCTAAATGATGGAGTTTAATTAATAGTTGTAAATTGTGATGTTTATAGAAACAAATTCACTATCTGTGATTTCTCTTAGAAGAACATCTCTTAGAAGAACATATGATGCACAATCTTTTCTAAAAAGATTTTTTTGATCTCTTAGAAGAACATATGATGCACAATCTTTTCTAAAAAGATTTTTTTGATCTCTTAGAAGAACATATGATGCACAATCTTTTCTAAAAAGATTTTTTTTATTTATTTAGTTGATGGAAAAATAGAGAGATGAAAACAGTTTTGCAAGGAAAGGAATTCGATGTGAAGATACCCAAATCTCGAGTACCTGTATCAAATCTCGAGTACATGTATCATAAAAATGTGACGGGAATTCTATGAAAAGTAAACAAATTTTAAACATTTTTTGGAATTGCTTTGTTAAATCAGAATGAAATTAGAATGTCTGCCCGTGCATTTTTATAATGTAATGTAAGTTATTTCGAAACGGGTGAAATTTTAACTGAACGCTAAAAGAATATACAAAAATATTATCGTTTGAATCGTTAATCAGTTTAGTCTAATTATATGGTTCCAGATGACCGAAATTTTTAAAATAAAGTGCACCAAAGTTAAAATATGAAACAAAATTTGTGGTTGCTGGGAAGAATGCGTAACAGTTACCCATTGCTGATAGTCTGGTCTGCATAATGATAACAATTACCCACATGCTGATAGTCTAGTCTGTGATAAAATCTTGAAACTTCAAACAGCCGGTGTGAACATAAATCGATGAGTCTTAGCAGTAGATATATTACTTGTTTTGCTAAGGAAGCGCCAATGACTTCAATTATTCATTAAATAAAGGTTTATTAATTGAACTTGTTTACCATAGTCATACATAACTTATCATTACAATGTCACTTGTGCTATCAAGTTTATTACATCGCTTGATTCAGAAAAAATTTGAAATTTTTGTGACTAATAAGTTTTAAATTTATGTATTATTACTTTTTTGTCTTCGAAAACCTCCGTTTTTTTTTCGAAGAATAATTTCATGTCGAATAGTGCGGCAATGCCCTAACATCTTAAAAAAGATTATGATGATAGCGTTAATCTAGAACGTTTGCATGAATCCATTGTTCAAAAAAATTTTTGAATATTATGAAAATCATTAATTAGAATATCAAAAATTGAAATTTGATCAATATTTTAAAATAATATTTTAATTCTATCATCCACTTCTGTTCTCTTTCATATTAATGCAAAATAGTCGCAGTTCCTGTATTCGTTTTAATCCCAATTTAATCCTACAAATTTTAGATTCTTCGCGATAAACAATGATTTTCCTTTTTTTAAGGTTATAATACGAGAAAATTGCATTTGTGTGATATTTTATACCATACTGATCAATTTATTTGTTAATTGTGTGATGATGATAGTTATGCGTACCGGACACGAGAAACAAGTTGTTGATAAATAAAAGAGATACGAAAGAAAAGGATTTTCGTTATCGATAAAGGGACAATAAATCTCACCCTGTTTTCGAGAATAGCAAATATCCAAAATAAGGATTTAGAAATAGGACTGGTTACCATCAGTCATTCGCATACCATTAAAATTTGTATCTTCTAACAATTAATCATATTTAACAGATTCCTATAAATAGTGACTTCTTCCTTAACTATACGATCTTGAGAACTCTCAGGACTGTTGTAAATAGAGCAAAAATGTTCCACAAAATTCTTACTCTTTCTACACTACTCGGATTTACCACTGCATTTCACCGTACGTTTTCGTCTTCTCTGTTTTTTTTTTTTTTGTTTGTTTGTTTATTTTTTTGTTTTCTAACACTACTCGGATTTACCAATGCACTCAGAATCTATGAAAATTTTAATTATTATAGAGTATCGAATACTGGATTGTACAGAGAGTGACAAAAGAACGGATGGCTCATCAGGCAAAATTGGCTGTCATTTGGTTTTGAAAAATGAAGAATTTGAAACGGGTAGAAATGCTCCGGAAGGTTCCGGCTGCTACACAGTTAGCGCGTTTTATTTTCTTCAAAAATGAAATTTGTTTGTGCCTTCATAAGCAATCTCTGTAAAGTTACCTTGCAATTCAATGTGCTGAAGTGAAACCAGTGGTTATGTCACTAGCGATCTAGAATAGAAATTCAATCTTGCCTAATGACTTGAAATCCTTTTTAGAATCCAAACAAACTACTCCAGATTTTTGTAATTACATTCACTACTAAATTCGGTCAATTTAAGCCGTTTCAACAACAATATTCTTGATGATAGATGAGGGCATTTTAATAAAAGTCAAAAGCGTCACATTACGGTATTAATTTATAGCTGAACAATTAACACACTTTTAGCAGATGTCAAAGAGTGTCTCATCACATTTTTTCTTAACAGCAAATGAAATTTTCGATGTCAAGAATGTTCAAAATAAAACTGCTTGTTGTGAACTGAATCAAATTATTGTGAAATCAAATTAAGATGGAAGAACTGTGCATTAAGAATTAGAACAGTGAAGTTGAACTTTACTCTGGTCGTTTCATCTTATGTTTTTGTGTAATGGAAGGAAAAAAAAGAAAAAAAAAAAAAAAAAAACATTTGCTGATTTTTTTTTTCAATTTGATTTTAACAAAAACACAGTTTCTAAACTGGAAGTAGCGGATTTTCTGTAAAATAAATTCAAAAAGCATAATAATTCTTAGTGTTTCAAAATAATCCACCATTGATCTAGCAAATTAATGATCAAGAAATTGCTTTAGCTCGCAGGTAAATTAGCAGATGAAAATGATTTAAGCATTGAATTAAGAATAAAAGAGTAAACAGTGATTCTGTAAACTTATCTCTCTATGTTTTGTGTAAATTCGTTTTTTTACAGGAAGGTTCAGGTGAAAATGCAAAAGTTTTCTGCGCCATTGTTTGTCCAAACGCTCATTTGGTGTTTCATTCAAAGTCGTTGAGCGACAAAAACTGCTTCAAATTCATTTCATACGGAGTAAATTTTGCTAGCCTTTCTCATTTAAAGTATTAAAATTCACATTTAAGAATAACTGTAAATGATCCCCAAGTATTCCCCTTCCCTCAAATTATACATTTCTTATATGACAACCATTACTGATTCTCGCTCTACTTACAGCTCACTCAGAAAGACGGCGATTGGTACTTATGGCGATCAGGAAAATGCCTTAATAGTCCGAAAGCATTTGAAATTGGATGTAAATTCGAGGATCCTTTTGAGAAACAATTCCCTGACGACAATGTGATCTTTAAGCATTTAGCTGCCAGAGTTCGAGCTTATTGAGTGCATTCTATCGAGATTGTATACAATTCTTATGTTTTAGGTTTGTTCATTGAAATACTCTCAAGTAACGCTAAATTTCGACCTTTAATCTTATTTAGATCTAAGTGTTTAACGGCTTGCAAGATTTTGCATGAATTTTCATTTGCAAGAAAAAAAATATTTTTTTTTTTTTTTTTTGCTAGAGTTATAAATTTGATTGTGTTGTTAATGGTTAGATATAAAATGGAAATTTTCCTGAAATTTAATGCAATACTGTAAAGTTTTGGTGGAAGTGTTTTCGGGAATAAGAATATTTAATAATCATTGTAACAATTTTTTTTTTCCATTCTGTGGTCATAGTCTGAAATATCTGAGAAAAAACTACTTTGTTAGATCTTTTCTCAAAACATTTTGGTAAAGAGTTGAAAAGGCATTCAGTTTTTGAAGAGCGATAAAATTCCAGCTTTAATTAAAAATGAAAATTCAGAACTGAAAAAGTAAAGTGAATAGCAGACATAATATTTTGAAACAATTGAAATCTTCCTACTTCTTACAAACTTTTCGATTTTCAGTGAACCCTTTTTATTAAATATCAAAAACTCTTCTTTTCAGAAAGTTTCTTCTCGAAGTTTGTTACTATTTCTCAATTTCAATAGCTTAAATTTTATCACACACAGAGAAAACATTTCTTCGTTCTTTGACAATGAATACCAACAATACTATAATTACTTATGGATACAGACAGACGCATTTTAAATCATTATAATTAAGTTTTATGAAATTTTTGCTAATCAGAGGATAAAAATTAACATAGTCTTGCTAATAAGAAATGAGTCTGTTCTAGTACCATGAAAATCTCTACTTTGGGATTGAATCAACTGTCATGTTACTTTCTCTTGTACGTTATCTTAAACATATTTTTTTGACATATTGAATCTTCTGGAAATTAAAAGTTAACGACAATAACTCATCGGGCATTTATTATAAAAGTTTGCTATTTCCATCCACCCATCTAATTGTAATTCTTTTTTATATATAATTAATTCACTTTACAAATTGATTGAAAAATGATTCATTATTGTGTGACACAAGAGAAGAGAGAACACTTCACAGGGACAATTCTTTTAAATCAATTAGCTCTCGGGACATCAATTTACGAACTTTTACTCTTTGTTCATTTACCAAACGACCGTTGGACGATTGACGATAATTTGTCATGTATTTGGTAAAGGAAAAGCTTCGAGAATTACCTTCAGTTGGTCACTACACTCATTGAGCCTTTCATCTTCAAAGCTCTCATATCCCTCACAAATAATATATCCTTGTCTTATCCTGAAATAAAGTAAAATAAACAATAAAGATAGATTATTAAGAAAAGAAAAGCTTAAAACAAGAAGCGAATTTCAAATGATCTAGAATAACGTCGCATCTGTTCAGGGATATCTTAAATATAAAAAATAATTTTAAAAGCGCATCAATTGTAGAACTGCGAGCAAAAAAGTTTGACAATAAAAATGTTGAAGATTTTCTTTTGGCTTGAAGGAACCAATGCAAAAACGGAAACACTTACTATCTTATCTGTTCGTTATGAGATATTAGATAGTGTCTTAACCTTATGCAGTTAGTAATTAAACAGGCAAAGTAAGATCACTAATACTTTGGAACTGTGCAAAGCACTTTTTACTTTAATTGATCAGGCTTTATTTTATAAAAGGCTTGTTTCCCTTTCTTTTTTTGGAATCAAATTATGATGTATATATACTTTTTATATAAATACATTTTTTTTAAGTCAAGATATTAGATATACATATATGTAGAAGCTTTAAAAATACTTCACTAGACTTGAAATAACTGCTTAAATAACTGATTGAGCTGAGTTAACTGATTTAAAAATTTATTTTCTATTCTTTTTTCTCTCTTCTTCATTGAGCCATACTAAACATATTAACTTTTATTTTTAATTAATTCTTCAATATTTCGGATTTAAATGAACACTTCACCACTATTACATTTTAGGTTTTTAGGAAAATTTTTTATTTGTTATAAATTATATAAGTTATTGTAAGAGTGTGTTCATATTCTTTAATGCCTTCTTATTTACTTTGAAGTAGATTATATGTTAACACTAAACTTTCTTATAAAATTGTTACAAAAATTATGAAATTAAGGTGTGCTCGGATAAAGATTTAATGCAAACTAAAGTAACATTGATAAATATTTTCATCGGTAAATATAATAATTTTAATAATAAGTTGACTTATTCTTCGGAAACGCATCCAATGATGACTGTCGCATTTAAATCACAATAATATGAGCAACCGCAAATTTAATTCGTAAATCTAATATTATTGTCTTTTTTCGAATGGACTCTCTTTACTGCTTTCTACTGCTTAATCATAAAGTAGTAAACCACAGAACATAAATAAATGCGCAATGATCGCATTATTTAACCGTAAGTGAAACGATACAATTAGACATGTAAATCAAATAGACTTGTCGTTTTCTTGAAATAAAAAAATTCCTTAGCTAATTTTACTAAATTCTTTGTTTTGTATTCTTATGATTGAATTGCTGTCTACCGATACATTTTTCACATAAACAGGTTTTCTTGCATCTTTTTAGTAAAATACTACTACTACTACTATTCTAAAGACGTGGACACATCATTTGCTAAAATTTCTCCGTCAAATTTTGCTAATGCTTTCTTGTTCAGAATTGTTTCGCCGTATACAGTAATGCATAAACCGATTTCAGTAAATTACCATTACACGTTTGCTTGTACATTTTTCCGTTTACGACAGTTGAACCTGATTCTGCAACTATATTCTTGAACTGTTAAGAAGGAATTGATATATTATTATTAATTGATTCGATTCAATCAAACTTACAAGAATTGTATGATAAAGTAAAGAAAATAACTTTTAAATTCTCGAACTTTTAGACATAAATACCAATTAGTATGCTGCAAATAAGACTATGCTGGATGATTAAGCAATTTCTTATGAATGAATTTCTTCAATTGTCATATAAGGCAAACAGATGAGAAAACAATTAAAGTGAGAAGGCAGCAAATATTTTATTGATTTAATCAACATGAAAAATCTAATAATGATTAAAAGCCCATATCCTGATAATGAACAATAAAAAAACATTTGCTGAAAAGCGCAGAATGATTGTTTGAGCAAATGAAACAGATTTTATCAGAAACGGAAAAAATAATTTTGCCACGGAGAGGTGTAAAACACTGCCACCATATTTCTTTTGCGCTTAGTGTTTTACACTTCCCTCTGCGATTCCGTTAATAGCACCTCATTTCATCAGAACGATCGCTGATTGTCATTTGCCAACGGTCTCTTTCTTCCAGCCACCATCAGCGCACCATCTCTTTCAACCTCTTCCACTGCTTGATCTCTAATAAAATTCATGAATTCATCAAAAGTAGTATTTCATTTCTATTTCGTAACAGTCCCGCCCTCGAAACGTCCTCCTTAAAATTTATGCCAGTTCAGGTGAAATTTTTATTACTTTACTGTTGCAGTAACATTATGGAAATTACTGCTGCTTGGAATCCCTTTGTCATTGTAATTCAATTTCATATTTCTCGTCTTTTCAAAAACTCTTAAATTTTATCAATATTTTTGGCTTTTAAGCTTATCTTGACAAGAACAAAATTAGCTGATTCGTTATAACGGAATGGATGAATTAGCTTTTCTTCATGCCATTGTAACAAGCGCCATTATTAATATTTAGTATTATTATTAGATCTGTTCATAGTTGAGAGGTTGCGGTAATACTAATGATATATTTATAGATGTTGTTCAGGTTTTGTCCCTCATCTGTTATAATTGTATTTTGTTGTCTGGTGAACGAAATTCTTGTTTCCACTGAGATCTGGCCTGATCCAGTTGATGATGGCCGAGAGAAGTATCCAAAACCAACTACCTGGGCAAACAAACATTACGGGCAATGGTGTCGGAATCGAACTATAAGCAAGTAACAATTCTTCCTTTTTTTTAAAAGAGAATATGAATGCAGGATCCAAGATTCCACTCAAAAAAAATTTTTTTTTAATTCTTTCTTATAAAATAAAATTTAATTGATCGGAGAACTATAACCTTAATTATCGTTAATAGGAACTTATCATCTGCTGTTATAAACAAGGAGTATAAAATTCTTTGAATATTTAAATTAATGAATATGATTTCCAAATTAAATGAGGTTTCCAGATACATTCAAACTTCGGTAAAAAATTCTCCAGAAATCATGCAAATTCCATTCGTCAACTTCATGCGGAAGCGGAAATATGAAACTAAAAAAGAAGCATAAATACAACTTAATTTTAGGTATATTCAATGTCCGATGGGCTCAGCACTTCATTATTATTCCTGTTGCGGTGAGACGGATACCGAATGTTGTTTCCGACTACAGCCTACCGTTGTTGCTTATTTACTTTCTATAGTATTTCTTATTGTTGTTTCTTTAGCATTCTATCTTTTACTGAAATTGAATTTGATTTGTCCAACAGAAAGTGTTATAGATAATGAGGAATAAGATAGTCTTTCCATTGACTTTTAAATATTGAAGTCATTAAATCGGGGTGCATTCTTATTTAATAATTCATCTCATTCAAGTTCATTCCTTTTTTGTTTGATGTTAAAACTTTAAAAAAATTATTGTTCATAACATGATTATATGCGTTAAATAATAGTTATGCATTTAGTTCACTTTCAGCAATGTTTCCTCCGATATTCAAACAGTATCATCCGGTTATGAATATTTAATTACAAATGCAACTCTTTTGTAATATAATATTACGAATACTTAAAATACTCATGTGATTTTATCCAACGTTAAAATGCATTCTGTGGATCAATACTAATTTAGAATGAGACTTTTTGTGATACAAAACATTAGTTGCAAGTATTTTTTTTTTTTTTTTTTTCTTATGAAGCTTCAAATATTTTATGAAATTAGTATATATATTCTTAAATTTTTATGTAATTATACGGCTGCATGAACAAAGGTAGCATTATTTCATGTCATAAATTTAACGGGAAAAATTAGTTGCAAGCAAAACAAATTATAGTAATAATGACATTATCATTGGCTCAATTAATTTTTAAAAATTGTGTGAAAAGAAATAAGTTGTGCGTGTTCAAGAACAAGTCAAAATACTGATTTCATTATTCTAATGAAATAAGTGATGACCGACTAGGTGAAAGTATAAGAGAGCGAATAATGAGTTTATTTTGGAGAGAATAGAAAGACGAGAAGGATAATGAAGTGAATAATACATATTTTCTCCATAAAATATATTAAGCTCTGACGTATGATCAGTTCAACTAAATAAAGTAACAAAATAATATGATAACAATTAAAATTAGTCCTCCGTAATTAAATATCTGTTGAAATGAAATGAATGCATATGGATCGGTAAGGAATTTCAACATTACGGCTGCTTAAATGCTTTTTCCATTTTTTGAATCGATTCTTCAAATGCTTTCCTTTCCAGCTCCTCCTCTCTACGCATTTTGTACTCCGAACATTACTTTCTATCGCATATTCTCATCTATGTCAATATTTGCACTTCCGTCCGGAAATCTCATCGATCTATTATTTCTGAAATATTATTTCTTACCCACGGAATATGCTTTTCATTCTACTTTTTCTTTCCTTAACCTTTACCTATAAATCTTTTTAGCATAGAAGAATTCGTATTTTTACTTTTTGTACTGCAATAAAATCATTTTTCAAAACTTCCGAAATAAAATATCCATCTTTGTAACCTTTGGTAGTTCTGAGCATGTTGAAACTTTTGATTCTGTTGTATTTCTATTTCAAAATAGTTGGGTTGACAAATTCAGCGTAGTCACTAAATATGATTCTGATACTGCTTTTCTTATCACCATTCCATGATATAAACCTGTTCAACCCAAAACTGTCAACTTCTACATGGCCATCTAGTTCACACTACTGATTGGACTAGACTTCTATCTCCAGAAGATTTTGAACTTCCACTTACTTCCATACTTACCTTAGTAGGCTTTTCTCATGTTAATACTTTCAAATGCCAATTACTCACTTCAAATTTTGTCTTTTTAAGCTTCTTTTAACTACATAGTTTGTAAAGTCGATTATTGATCAATGTTAGCATTCTATCACTGTCTCCTCAACAGGTGCACATGTCCTTTCTTCTGCAATGTAAAGATTCACTGGCATATTTTGCATAGTGATATCAAATCATCATTTCAAGACTCGACTTATAAATCAATTTGATGCTAGCACAAAGAAAAACTTTGCAGTTCCATTAAAATAGAAATGAGAAGAATGAGACATTTTGGATATATCAGAACGAATGTCTTTTAAGCATGTTATATAAGATGAATGTCCCACATGCGTCAGTCGCTTAAGCGGAATTGGCATGGTGATATTCCTCATTTTCAGCTCTATCCAATTACATTCTTATCAATCTACCTCTAGAACTATATAAACTGGATATACAGCCACAGATCATTTTAACTGATATCTATGTAAATTTTAAACAATAAAATCAAAAGTCGAAAGTGAAGTGCATTTAGTTCTACAGCAATTGTTACTTGTTATAAATCAACAATTTAAAAAAATTGTACCATACTCCCATCTTCTGCAAAGAACTCAACTATGCCAATTTGTTTTTGTCAGAGGAAAAATTGTTGAGGTGAGACTTTGCTAGCAATATCACTCGAAATTATGAGAAGAATTAAATGAGTAAATGCAACTAATATCAAAATCAATCGTCAATCAAAATGGAAATGATTTTGGAAAAAATAGATGATTCTCGAGACGTTGAGAAATAAATATCTCAAAAATTCTAAGAGCAGCTGATGGCAATAAAATTTCAAAAAAAGAGTTAAATGATTTCTATAATGTGTTTTACGTAGATTAGTGATAAGCAAACATAGTTAGTTATCCTTATAGTACAGTTGAATTGCAATAAATTCACCAGACAACGTGAAGTTGGGATTGAACTGATACAAGAAATCGTATTTCCTACAAACATTTCTATCAGTTTTTATTTTCAAATCATTGCTGATGCATTCTGATGTATCATTTTATGCCATAATCATATTATCACTTACTGTTTTCACATGTTGTCGTCATATCAGTTGCAGTTGTTACTAAAGCAGATAGCAGTTCAGTGTGTCATTTTTTTCCTAAATGTTTTTTATGGTAAGGAAAAGTAATTTTATCAGAGAGGTCATTCCAATCCAATCCATGCAACCCACTTAATGATGAACTTTCTGCATTGAATGCATGACTCAGCTTTTTGTATCAACATGGAAAGATGCAGGCACAATGCTAAACATTCGTTCTTTCCAATCTGCGCTCTTATTTGTATTTGAGTTTATAAAATACATCTGTATGCATATACTTTACTTAACTTATAATTACTTCTTTCCCTTTCTCTCTTTCAAAAATAAGCGAACATTTCATCATAGTTCAGCACTTCACAGATCCATTAGCTGTTTCATACGGGCTGCGTGAAAATGAGGCGTGGTGAGGTATTGTTTGGTAATTTGCATTTAATTACAATGAATTGTTGTGGTTCTGTGTTTAGAAGAGGGTGGACGAATTGCTAGGCTGGATCAACATTTCAAATAATGTAGCTAAGCTAGCCTATCTCAAAGAGAAATTTCAGTGAATAAGCATTCACTATGATTTATCAACAACAGTAATATTGTATGCTTACGTATTTGTTTGTTAATCTTATTCTTATTTTGTACATCGAATGGATGACAATGTTATCAAATTTTAGGCGAAAAGGTTCATATAAGAACTCATTGTTTATTGATTGAGTGTTAGCTTTTTAGCGAATATTCATAGCAACAACAAATTATAATTCAAAATTATAGTGCTAATTTATTCTGTACCATCCGGGGTATCGTCATGAAGTCTGGTGTAATTCTGTTCACTTATCTTGACAAAGAAGAAAAAATCAGTTTTTCAAAAATACATGTTACACATGTTGTATATTCCGTGAATGTGTTCATACAATAATGAACAACATTTTTGCTTTCACAAATTTTAACTAGAAATAATTTCGCATCATATAATTATATATACTTCTTACTAATACAGTACTCATTATCTCGAGACAAATATAGCTATTATTTATTCCTTCACTTCTGAGTTGTTTCCGATACTTCGCTTGAGGTTATCATTATTTGAATATGTTCAACAAACTTAGAATGGACATTGTGATTTTTGAATAGAACACGAACTTTTTATTTATATCAATCTCGAAAATAATATAAAAAATTTCTCAACGACATTTCGAATTATATTCTGCCAGAAAAAATAATGTCAGTGTTTCATTTTTTTATCGGATTTTCATTATAAAAAAAACGAAGAGAAGTGCGGTGACTTTTTAAAAAAAAGAACACAAAACAAAAAAAACGAAGACTTTTTTCAATTTTAGTTTCTAGTAATGATAAATCTGGTTTCTAACTTTCTTGTGCGATAAGTGTTTCCATTTGCCTTTATGATTTTAACTAGTACTGTATGGGAAATGAGGATTTGATAACGATCTGAATTGTTCTAATTGATTTTCAATTTATATGATAAGTTAATTGGGAAAGAAAGTATTCTGAATATTCTGATTCTTTTGAAAAATGTATCTTCGAGTCCTCGAAGACTAGCTGCGACAGTATGGAGAGGCAGTAGATTCAGAATCACCGCCTGGTGATTGAGATGTGAATATTAAGAAATAAGGCTGATTAGTATTCTCTGTTTATCATTCTTCAAGGTCACTAAGAATATGTTTACATGTGGATGTGCACCTTCATCATTATGTTCCCTTTTGATCGCATGCATTAATATGTCTCATTGAAATAGCCCTATCAAAATGATACATTATAACTGCGCGGGATATGTCCTTGGCAAATGATTGCATTCAAGCAAACAATATATCTATATCAATGAAGAAGGATGTACTTTGATGTGATAAATGGGTGAATAGTAAATTTACTACTTCAGAGTGGCTCAAAAGGTTATTAACAGGATTGTTGGACGACATTTTTGTCTTAATTCATTTCATTTCTTTAGATGAAATTTGCAACAGCTAAGTGGAAAAGTTAGGAAGCTGTACTGTTAGTGTTATTTTTACCTCATCTTCAGTCCACAGATTTAAGAATCAACAGTAGTTTTCGGGATAATGGGTCGTCGCTTGATCTTGTTAAAAAAGGTTTCTATATTCATTTTTAATTTTGATTCATTTACAATAAACTCAAAATGCAAAATTGGTCTGCAGTATAGGTATCATTTAAAACCTTATCTGACATTACGCAATAGAATATTTGTCATGATATTAATAAATGCATGCAACAATATCAAGTTGACAGTTCACATTAAGGATAGATGCTGTTTTGGTTGTTGTCTCATTGTTTAAGAACTTCAAGAAAAGAGAGATTTAGAATTCATAGAGTTAAATTTTCTCATATATATTTTAGTCGTACATTCCCTTTCTATTCTCATTCGTTAAAATTAATATTTCATTGAGCGCTTCATTTGTTTTGGAACTTGTAAAATCTAGTGCTTCAGCTTGAACTTATAGAAAAACTCAAGGAAAGGAGAAATGGAAAGAATCAATGTGGGGATGCACGTCGATATACGACGTTCAGATGGTCGAGTTCACAATGCTGTTATCAGTGAAGTCCGTAAGGGAACACAGTCGGTGACTGTCGAATGGTTTGAAAATGCAAGTATTTCTGATTTAAAATACTTTTAAGTATGTTAGTTGATTGCGTTCAGTAGCTTTCTGAGGGATTTCAATCGCTTTCTTAGGATTGGTCGTTATGTCGATAATGTATTACATTCAATTTCTTAGTGCTGTGTTTTGCATTTTTTTTTTGATCATTTATGTCATTTTTTATTTTGACTTATTATTTTTAGTAAGTGGGATATATTTGATAGGTTGGATGAATTTGATGTCTTTGTCTGGCAAATTCATTGTCTTTTTATTTTAGTTTTGCAAAGAAAAAAAAAATTGGGGAAGAGCGTTAGGTAGGCTGGAACTGAATCACTCAAAAGGCACAATTTTATGTACAAAATCCGCTGATTTCTTATATTTGTGTGAATCCGTTGAACAGTTGTGAAATTGCCTTTGTGATTTAAAATAGCATAACGTTCCAGGGAGAAACTAAAGGTAAAGAGATCGATTTAAGAACGCTGTTAGCAATTAATCCTACATTGGCCGCACCACCTCCTTCGACGTCTTCATCGATGAATTTTGCCCCTTCTATTACCAATGATGAAAATCATTCAGGAGCATCAGTAGAACTTCAACAAAGAACTCAGAATAATAATGAAAGTATGGCAGACATATCTTCAGCCTATTTCTTTTTTAGTAGTCATCTGCATAAATTACTCCATTTGTTCGTTTATTTCATTTTATTTTATACTGAACAGCATAACTTATCTGAATTTGCTTCCTCTAATTTAGCGGAAATTAGACGCCACAACCAAAAATTGGTTACCTCACGGGCCAATAATGTTGGTCCACAGTTCGCAGCTACGAATGGAAGTAATGCTGCATCGAATACACAGATGAACGGATACAATCGTGTAAGCCTGCTCCAAGCTCCTAGTAAACTTCCACCGCCAAAGCAACAACGTTATACTCTTGATCCTTCATGTTTCGAAGTTGATTCCTTGACAGGTAAGCAAATGTCGAAGATTTTCAAAAGGAATGCATAACTAATCAGTCAGCTTCTTAAGCTAGTAGTGTTTTGAAATGGTTGTGTCTATTTAAAGTGGGTTTTGAGGATAGAGATGGAGAAGCTTGTACTGTATATTCGTGTCTTTCATTGGCAAAGCTGAAATTTCATTGGTTATCAAACTCCATCTAAACTTTCAGTGACTTTTTTGATTGTAAAAAAGTATCATACAAACTATATATGCAGTTTGTTTAAAAAAGATGCTTACAAGAAAATTCTGGTTGTTTGAATGATTATATGATAAAATTCCTTTAAAATAATATGTGACAAAATTCCTGATGATTTGAAAGAATTCCCGTTTTTAGCAGCGGCGAACGAAACAGTGGATATCAGTGCACTAAAGAGTGGCCAACAACATCAAAATCAAAAATCCTCTACTATGCAGGAAATTGAGCGACTACAAAGAAACAGAGAAGAACGACGTGCTCAGCAGGTTTAATTTTGTCTTTTTAGTCATCAGCGTTTCATGACCGAGAATTTCTAGGTGGAAGAATTAATTTCGTTTTTGCAAAAAAGGACTGAAGAATAGCTTGTCTAATTTTTTACGAAAAAAAAAAAAAAAAAAAAAAAAAAAGGACTAAAGAATAGGTGGATTTTCAAAGAATAAAGCTTTTGATGAATTTTTTGGTTTCTTCAATGAACTTCTGAAAGCACTTTATCACTTGGATAATTACAGCAAGAGGCAAGAAGGCAGAAAGAACAGCTGAAGAGTATTGATCCCGGTAATCCAAATTGGCAGTTTTTGACAATGATTCGTGATTACCAGTCACAAATCGATTTCCGTCCATTGAAAATGTCCGATCAGGTAAAATAGTGTTTTAGAGATTTTGGAAGTATGTAATAAATTAGGAATTCCGGTGAGTTCCATGATAACATACAGCAGTGGTCCAAATCATAAAGCTAAATTTAATTGTGGAATTGATAGAAGTCTATTTCTAGGTCACTGATCACCGAATCTGCGTTTGTGTTCGAAAGAGGCCTCTCAATAGGAAAGAAATCATGAAAAAAGAAATTGAGGTTTATATTTAAACAGGTTTTCATAATATTGTTCCAGTGACAGAACTAATTTTGTATTGAAATGTTTTATGTAATTGTTTGCAGGTGATAACTATTCCAAACAGGGACCATTTGATTGTTCATCAACCTCAAGTAAAAGTGGATTTGACGAAATATTTGGAAAATCAAAAATTTCGATTCGATTATACTTTTGACGAAAATACAAGTAATGAGATGGTTTACAAGTCAGTTTTTAATGTTAATACTATCAAAATTTTATTCTGCAGAAACGGAAGAAATTCAGGAGATGTAGAATGAATTTTCATATATTGGCTAAGATGCGATCGCTTTTAGGTTCACTGCACAGCCGCTCGTGAAAACAATCTTCGAGCAAGGTTTTGCTACTTGCTTTGCTTACGGCCAAACAGGATCTGGTAAAACCCATACCATGGGTGGCGATTTCACAGGTAAAATGCAGGTAAGCAGGAAATTTTCACATTGATCATTATTCAGATGCTCTACTGAACTTTTTTCGTTCCCAGTCTTTCTTATATTCATATTTCGTTCGTTATCATTTTCAAAAATTACCGTTTTTCATAATTTTGTAGTATATAAGCACGTACAGTAGGGTTCCAAGTGTCACTTTCGTAGTAGTGCTTTGAATCATTTCTGTTTGACTATACAGTGGTATACATGAGAACAATGGGAAAAAATTTTTTTGAACAATGATACGAACTCTGTTTTTTAAATTGTTTTTATGTGTAGTTATTATGATACAAATTCCCCGTCAAATTTCAACTACGACACTTGAGAGTTTGATCCCAGTTTGCTCTTATCAAAATTTGCAAAATTTATTTTAACTTTTTCAGGCTTTTTCTTTTTTTTTTCTAACGTAAGATACTGAATGGCAATTATTCAGCCGCTAAGTCATCATTTAAAAGTAAAACCTATAAGTTGTTTTCGTAACTATTCACGAAAGATGTAAAACAAAGGTAACAATATCTCAACCTTTTTTAATTTTTAGGATTGTACTAAAGGTATATACGCCCTTACAGCAAGTGATGTGTTCAAGCTGTTACACAAAGATTATAAAAGATATAGCCTCCAAGTCTGCTGCAGTTTTTTCGAGATATACGGTGGTAAAGTTAGTACTGTGACAATTCAGAATTTTGTTGTTTTTATATATGACATTGTTTAATTAACACTTTTAGAAAACAGCTAAACTCATTTATTCTTTCATTTATTTATTTTTTCAGTTTATTGGCTATTTTCTAACATAGATGTCATTTCAGGTCTTTGATCTTATCGGAAATAAGGCCATGTTACGGGTGTTAGAAGATGGTAAAAAAGAGGTTCAAGTGGTTGGATTGCAAGAAGTGCCGGTTCATGACGAAGATGATGTTGGTATTTTCTATTTTGAGTTTAATGTTTTGAACTCAATTGATCGTATCAGCATTTTATACATATTGGATGCAGCAGCCATGTACAGATCGATGGTTACATTCACTACTTTAAATAAATCTTCATGTTTTCTTGATTTTCTTGTAGAATATATACATGTCAGGCTTTTTCGACATAATGAACGGTTCTTGTTTCAGGTTCTAGAGTTAATAAAGAAGGGGACATTGATGCGGACGGCAGGTACAACTTCTGCTAACGCCAATTCATCTCGATCACATGCTGTGTTTCAAATTATTCTTCGTAAAAGGTAGTTTTTTGATCTTTACTTTTTTCTTTTAATTTCACTAGACTATTCATGTTTTGGAGCCATGGATCATTTAATAGATACCAAAATTTTAATTAATGTTTCTTTACACCTCACATTCCATTGTAACAAGAGAAATTTTTTGCTGTGAAAAAACAGAAAAAGAAAAGAGAGAGCAAAAAAATTGGGAGAAGTAAAAAAAAATTCCTGACAGGGAACAGATATATATATATATACTTCTTTATACACAGCTTTGACCATATTTTTATTTCAGAACGGAGAAAGGATTAGGACGCATATGGGGAAAATTTTCCTTGATTGATTTAGCGGGCAATGAGCGAGGTGTCGATACAATAAATACAGATCGGCAAACTCGTATGGAAGGTTCAGAAATCAATAAATCTCTTCTAGCTCTCAAAGAGTGTATAAGGTGAACAAAAAATCTGAATTTGCTCTTTTATATTAAAAACTTATTCCATCTAAGAAAAAACCTGAGAAAAAAAAACTGAATCTAATTGACTACTAGGGAGATAATGTGACCTATGTAATATGTAAATGAAGGAAGTTGTAGATGAGAAGTGTAGCATAGATGTATTCAACGTGCATTGACGTTTTATCAATTCTTAAGGTGATATGCAGAAGATGAGCTCTGTCATTTTTTACTATTCTGATCTTACTGCATAATTTTCATTTATTTTTAACTGTTCTTTTCTACTGTAGAGCAATGGGTCGGAATTCAGCCCATGTTCCATTTCGAGCTTCCAAATTAACGCTTGTCCTTCGTGATAGTTTCATTGGTTCGAATGCAAGGACGTGTATGGTGAAGCATTTAAAAATTATTTCTTCATTTACGTAGTTTCAAAGTTTTTGTAAACTGTACTTGGTGCTGAAACAGTTTTTGTATATTTCTAACAACCTTATTGTAATTACAGATAGCAATGATTAGCCCCGGCATGTCTTGTTGCGAGCATACTTTGAATACTTTACGATATGCTGACAGGTGTCATTCGTTTCTTTTCTTTTTTTTTTCATTTCATCACTGAACATTCACTTGTTTTTTTTTTTTTTTTTAGAGTAAAAGAATTAGGTGCTGAAGATGGATTGAATTCACCAATGGAGGATGAAGAGCTTATGTTAAGTAATATTGATGAGGATTGTGATATTCTGCAGTCAAGAAATGTATGCGGTTTGATTTAATTAGATTATGACTTTAATTATGATAACATTTTGGTTCACGTCAAAGAACCTTCCGTGCGAGTTTGTCTTTCTATATTTATCTTATCGATATCCCTCACACACTTCACGAAGTCAAAATATAGTCAGTGTTAAGTGCCATTAAGAAATATAAATCGAACTGGTACATTTCTTTTTGACTACCTTTACCTTCCGTTTATCTATATGGCTTCCTCTATCTCTTTATTGAAGTAAAACTTTCCTCGTTAACTTTTAATATCTACCATACATTGCAAAAAAAAAATTTTTCAACGTCTTAGATTTTGTATTTTTAAATTGCTTATGTGAATTATTTTTGAGGAGACTAGAGATGCTAAAACATAATTCATTTTTCGTATTGACCTATGGTTCAAGTCATGTGACGTTGTTTTACGTGGATTTTAGTGATTTTGTTTTAAGAATATTATTTAGAAATAGGAATAGATTCGAGGCTCCTCTCTCGTTATCTAGGTTTTAGGGAGTGAACGATGAAAGATATCGATTGCAGAGAACATTACAAAATATATCCCTAGCGGAAGAGAAGTCCTGTAACGAGTTAACTACACTGTATGAAGTAAGTCAACTTTTTTATATTAAAAACTTGAAATTGATATGTGGTATTTTGTACTGATGACGGAAGAAACTTTGTTTTATTTTTGTTACTGGTATATAATAGCATCACAGTACGATATCTTTTTAAGGATATGGAGAGAACAAAGGCGGAAATGGCATCTTTGTTAAAGCGGCCAAGTAAAGTGGATTATGACATTGATGCTTTTGCTATCGATTTGCAAAATTTTGCTCGTGACCAGCGTGATAGATATATGCGTTTATATGGTTAGTCTTTTTTTTATAGCCTTGCCTTATTTTTGACCTTCTTACCTCGGTAGAAACAGATGGTAGTAATACCATCTGTTTCTAGAGGTAGTACGAAATTTAGTGGAGGATTTAGCACTTAAAACGGTTTATTATCCAGTATTAATTTTAGATAATGCCGAGTGTCTAGTATCAGAACTTGGTAAGGAATCGGAGATTAGTAAAAAGCAAACAAATCATAAGCGGCATTGAATCGATGTGGATTAAGTTTCCACTTCTCTTTTAGTAGTTATTATATTTGTTGGAATTTAACATAAATGTTTGTATTGCGTCAGTGAAATTTATTGTGCTTTGTTGTTCATATAAAAATTTCGTATGTTTCTTATAACATTTAAACTGTGATTATTTGTTTATTACTCTTTGCACCGTTTTGTAGAATTTCTGCTCACTTCATGAATTGTAATTTTTTCTTGCTTACCATTTTTATGCTTTGGATAGCTTCAGCTTGAATTTTTTATAAAGCGCAGGGAAAATATTCCAGCGATTATTGGAGATATTTGTATGAAACTGTCCATGTTTTTTTTTGATCCGAAAAATTATTCCATTCCGCAGAAATTGTAGATTAAGAGATATCATCAATATAATCTAACGAAAATTTATGACATATACCTGCATCATATGTGTTCACTCAGTAGTTTGGTTTGTGTTACTAAAATGAAGATTGCATGTTTGAACTCTTCATGTTAGTATATAAGGGTTTAAGAATGAAGTGTAATCTCTTCCTTAAAGTATCTTGGAATGTAAATGTAATTATGATTATGTAATGAAGGCTTGTAGGACGGGTAAAGTTAGTGATTTTTTCCCATGCTTCCTCGTGACATAATCTCTTGCCTCTATAATTAAGTAATTTACATTTTGCATTCGTAACATAACTTTTTCTTTATTACTGCGAACATGTGCTTCATATGTATTTTATGAGAAAATTTTGTAACCAAGGAGTTCCCAGATATTGGTGATGTTGATGACTGCCACATTTATTGCAAATTACTTTTGTGTATAACAATGCTGATTGCAATGAGAGTATATTTTCATCGAAAAAAAAAAAAAATATCTAGTTTGTCGATAAGATTGATAGGTGTAGAATGTTCCAGGGAAAGAATCTCCAAAAAATTAATTAGTCCTCATTATTTGTCATTAACATTTACTAGTACCTTCTTATTATTTACTGGTACCTTTTTCTGCTTTACATGTGCAATTGAAATGAATCTGAATTTAGCTTTGTTTTAGAACTGACAGCAAATTACGGCTGATTTCCATGAATGCTAGTGGCTACTTTGCAAGTACAAGTTGATACTTTCAGTTATGATTGATAATGCCTTGAAATTACATAAGGAATCGCGTGGATTCGTAAACCATGTAAAGAACACACCGGTTCCTTAGATCCACAACCTGATGTGTTTTTAAGAGGAAAAAAAAGAGACAAATGTAGAAGTCGGGGTTATAAGTTGTGCAAGAGGAGTACATTTTCAATTCGCGTGATTGTAGAATGTTTGTGAAGTTTTGGAGCTGATCATATAAACAGTGTAGGTGCCTTCTATGCTTTTGCAGGATGATGTGCACCTAAAATGAACCATTCGAACCATTCGCTGAAATCATTAGCAGCATCGCTAAATGAAATCCATTCTCAGCAACAGAAGCCAAGTATTTCTGTAACGTTCAAGAATAACAATCTTGCTAGTAAACTGCGTTCGGGTAGGTTCAGCTTCAAATTTCATGCATGTTTATAAAGAACGTGAAAGAGGGAAATTCTAGTCCACATACTACGGCATGAAAGTTTTAGGAAGACACTGCTGTGATTGTCAAGCTAGAATGCATAATTTGATTCGGAACTGCTTGAGCTGTGGACGTATAGTATGTGAACAGGAGGGCAGTGGACCTTGTATGTTCTGCGGTGAACTCGTCTGCACTCGAGAAGAACGGGAAGTAAGTTCTTATAGGCACTTATGTTTGACATTAGTAACTGTACTGCAGTTTGAGGTGTTTTTAACCAATTCATGTTTTATTAGCTTGACTGTTTCGTAGTGAACACTTTTTTTTTTTTTCTGCAACTTTGAATCAGTTTCAACAGTTTCAAAAAAAACGCTATGGTCTAGAATTTACGCCCAGAAAGTTTCAGTAGAGAATATAAGCAAATGCAATATTTACCATATATAATCATGTAGGAGATTGCCGTAAATTATATATGTCGTTTGTTCTAATTCTAAATTAAAGTTGAAAAACAAGTATATTTAAACTTTTTTTCTCATTTCTACTTAAACTAAACTTAGGAAACTACTTGGATTTCATTATCAGAACATCTATATGAACCATTTTAGCTTTTGAATCGGCAACAGTCAAGAAAATCGGTTGAACTTTACTACAGATTAATGGGATGTAGAGACGAAAAAACTGTTGATGGAGGAGTATTTTCTTCGGCATCAGTCGGGAGTGTGTTAGCAGAAGCTGAACAGTACAAAAATAAATTATTGGCTGCGGATTCTAATGCGTAGGATCGTTCGTATATATTAAATTATATTGTTGTAGATAATGTAGATTGTTACGGTAGAGAAACTTTTTTTGGGAGCGCATATTTATTGATAAAAGTGAATTTTATTAGTGAAAAAGAAACTGTTTCAGCTAGGAAATTTTAAATACAGATAAGCAATTTTAGAGAAATGAAGACACGCATTCACGATCTAGAATCGGACTATTATAACATGGAAAATAACATATATTTGACAAAAGCGGTTAGTGTTGTTCCTTATTGGGATTACTAGGACCTTTCAGACTTCGATACCTTCCACCTTTCATGAATTATTGTATTGCGCCTGTTTTGAGTCTAACTGGTGAATTATATCGCGTCTAACTTGACTGTGGTAAATCTCCTGAACAAATATTGTAATTCAAATGTATTTTATTCGATTTATTACCTAATTAAGTAACTTAGTTTGATCTGTTCACATGAGTAAGCTACCAGTGTTTATGAGAAGAAGTGTTTACAGGAACGAGAAGCTATCATGGCTCGTAAAGAAGAATTAAAAGAATTAAGAATACGACAAAGACGGGCTTTCACTGTGGATTTCGATTTAGAAAAAACCAGTGTTTATGAAGTAAGCGTGTTTATGAAGAAATTCCAAAAAATATTTAGGTCGGGTTTTTAAAAGTAGTATTTGTATGCGTTGCAGCCAATGGAATATTCATTTATTCAATTAATCATTGTTTTGCAATGACTTGAAGTTTCTCTGCCAAAGTTTCATTTTACGCTTGGAATGGGATGTTTTAAGAGTTTTAGTAAGACGTCTGAAAATATTAGTTTGATGTCACAGTATTTGTGCTTTTGAGCAAGTTTAATTCCAAATCAATATAACTAGAGATAGACTTTGAGATATCTCTATCAGTCAGAGGATAGCAATTAACAAATCTCCGTAGTGATAAATAAATTTGTTGTTCTTTTTCGTTGTAGTGTTGGTTTACAAAAGGTTATGGGAGCATAGCAAAACTGCATGGTACATTTTCATTCATCTTTAGAAACGATGGTTATTGAGAGTGTAAGCATGCAAGAATTGTTTTTTTTCTATGAAGTAAATTACATAGTGACTTTTGTAGTAGTCTAATTGTTTTCGGATTGCTCCTGTTTGTCGTAAATAGTACTTACTTTATGTGCTTTTGTTAGCTAAATTAATAAGAGCAAAAGACTTATAGTAAAAGAGGTAGCTTGCCGCCTTTTTTGTGTGTATGTCAGTGATTAGACTGGGAGCTCTTAATTTTCTTTACATTATTTTTTTATAGATTATAGGAATAATGAAATTAGAAGTTGTAGTATTTGCAGATAATTCTGTAATGATATAAGTTTGGTTGAAAAAGAATGAATTAGATTATTTGCTTAGAATATTCCATAGTTTATGAACGTCGTTTTCGATATAATCGCAAATCTTTACTGTTATCTTATTTCAACATGTCAGTGGTAAAAATGGAAGATCTGTTTTTTTATGATGAAATTTTTTTAATACCTTTTTACTATTGCATATCATATTTGGATATTAATTTCAGGTCAGGGAAAAATATGAGGACATACATGATCCAGTGATCGAGTCAATTTTGTTATCTTCCAAGAGAAGGCAACAGACTGAAGCATCAAGACCTATGGCGAAGTGGGCTCCGGATGGATTTGTACTGAAGGTACTTGTTTTTTCTTTCTTTTTCACTGGTAGGACATTAAGAGAAAAATCTAATAGGAAAATCTCTTCTTTTCGTCCATCTGAAAATTAATTACAATTATAGAGTAAGCTAGAGTCTATTTTTCGTATAGCAGCAAGTTTTTACGACTGAAATTTGGGAGAAAATGTATATAACAAAAGCAGTTTATATGTGAAATGGGAACTATCTACTAATCTAATCTACTTGTTTAATAATAAGATTTTGTTTTTATTGTCTTACGGAGGGATTTCTAGTGATCTTCAACTAGATATGATTTACTTCCGACACATAATGTACTGGAAAAAATTATGTATCTTTTATAATGCGACATATCAATCTTTGCCTATTTCAGTATAAAAGGCGAAATAAACGAGAAGCCAATCACCAACAGGATAGCGGTAATGAAGGAGATATTGAAGACGGAGCATTTATGATGTTAAATGATGAAATGATATATACGGAAGTGGCAAGAAAAGGTTATTCGATCGGTATCGTTCAGCCTCTTGCAACTCTGCTAGCTTTTGGATTTCGAAGGTTCATTATACTACCTTGTTTGTTGTATTATATATCCCAGAAAGATTTGAGAGCAAATGTGTCGCTGAATTTGATTATGGTTTAATAATATGTGTGTGTGCTGTAAATCTACAACAAATGCGTATGATATTTGGCAGTGGGGTCAGCATTAAACAAGCAGACCGATATATGTATATGGAGAGAGAGGGAGAGAGAAAGAGAGACAGAGGGAAAGACTTTGCAGGCATCTTCCATGGAATGAAGTTGTTGACATTAGAGGGCCAATACTTATTGCTTCGAAAAGTAAAACTGCTTCAAAAAATGAAATTAACAGGGAGATCTCACGTTGGCATTCTTTTTCAAATAGTAAGTAATACATTTAAATAAATTATAAAGCAGAGTAATATCCAAATTGGAAAAAGAGCTCTTATACTGTTAAAGATTTTTACCTTATTAGTTATTTGTACTTAAATTTTTAAACTATGATTTTCATGGTTTCTGAAACTTTTGTGCATATTTTTTTAATTTTTTTATTATTTTGGCTGTATGATAAGTAAAGATTGAATTTCTAGATAGTATGGAAAAATACAATCTTCCATCAGAATTTCCTTCGGGTGCGATTGTAGGTCGCGCATTGCTTACTGATTGTTTATCGATGGAAGAGTATGGAGAGAAGGTATTATTGATTTAAAATAAAAGTGTTGTGTTAACTAAGTAACATTTAGATTAAGCTTTTTGTTATTTAAAATTTGTATTAAATGCCGCGAGATGTCTTCTGTTTTTTGAATTCTTGAGAAAAATAGCGATGTAAGACAGTGTTGGTGCAATATTTGCAATAAACTAATGCTAGTTTCGACTGTAGAGTATTTGAAATTCTATTTACTGACAGAATTTCAGTATCTGACAGACAACAATTTTTGTGCCATCGTTTTTTTTTTGATTGAAAAAGTTTATGCACTATTTTCGTTTAGTAATTCTATTAGAAACCTAATTTTATATTTTATGCTGTGACATAAACCTGTAGTACTGGGCAGTTTTTTATTTAGATTACCTAAGATAGGAAACAGGGCTATCGAGTGATATGTTCTAAGTTGTTAATAACAATGTAAATAAAATCCATATAATTCGAATAAGGATACGTATTTCTCTTTTTGATATTTTGTTTTTCGATTAAAAGTAGATCATATTATATTTCAGTATTCGAACAAGGAATGCATTGATACTGAAGGATCTTACGTTCTTATATTCGATGTCTTTGAACCGTTGCTTATTCCTATTCCTCACATTCCTGTTTCGAATATTTATCAAGTTGATAAGCAGTTGCTGACTGCTATAAAGCAAATTCTCGAACCAATATCTTTTTTTTGAGTGGTTTTTATTAGACTGAAATTATGGTAATGGTTAGCACGTAAACTTAGGATGGTTATCTTTGTTATTTTATATACTGAAGATAATATATAATTATTTTTCATTTATTTTAGTGTAACATTCTGGATTCTGTGTAAATACAGTGAGCAATATTTCTGCCTCAAAGTTCGACTTTTTTACTATTGTTCATTTGCAAAGTTGATTACTTTGATTTGATGACAAAAAGATGGTAGTGAATGATCAACACCAGGAATAGAAAAAATACATAAAAAAAGAGCAGTGATATTCAATTGAACTAATTATTATGTGATCTTCCTTAAGTTTTTAATATAGATTGGTATCTCATATACTCTGTAATTTTAAAGCTCTTACATCGATACATCGATGTATTGCAAAATATACAGTGATTTTTATTTACTGTGGTTAACATAATCAAAACCAGATTAGTTAATACAGCTTGGAATTGATTTGTTGCTTTTCCTAATATAATTAGCTGTAACTAAAACGTGAAGAGTTCCTATACTTATTGGCAAGTGATTTGAACACAGTTTTTTGAGTAAGAGATTTTGAACTCGTAGACCGCGCTTTTTTCTAATTTATTTTACGTTGATATATGATTTTGGTGATCTCAAATGAACTCTCTCACTTTTTTTCTTGCCTCAAAATTTCCTGTTGGACAGCAGAGATTTTCTTTGATGCGTCTTTTTTTTACAAAACTTGCACTTTATAAGCTTGACAGTTTTTGGAATTTTTCCTTCTGAGGACCATTTATTGATTCTCTGTATTTCCGGTTTACATAACCTATAACTAAAATGTTCTCTTTTTTCAAAAATAAAATATGCAGTCGAATTCCATATTTTCATTTTATTATTCATTACTGACCAAACTAATTTGTTTTCCGATATGAAGCTACAATCTTTGAATGCTTTCCGAAGTTATGACCATGGTATGAGGAGAAAGTAGGGGAAAAGGGTGCAGGATTTTGCATTCACCAGTTTCTCTATTTAAGTCCGAAATGGATAAGAAGAAATTAGCCAGCTGTGATTAAATGTGTTGTAACATGTCTCTAGAAGTTATTCTTCTTATCGTACTCAAGTCTGATCTGATCTTCGTTACCATAAGTAAAATGAAGTGGTCTTGTCTCTGTTATCATTGCTGGATCTGGATTCTGTATTGGACCTCGAAGTTGTGATTTGATGAGGAAATTCAAGGAATGAGATTCAGAGAAAACCAATTATTTTTTTCTGCTACATCTACTATACAGTTGCAAATTATGAGGAGGGTATTGCAGTGATTTTCTCCGCACGGTTTCTGTTCAATTTATGAAGTGAAGCTTGTAGCGACATACCAAAGCTGTATAGATTTAGGAATATATTAATTCTGATAACACAGATCTGGTCTATCAGTTTCTTTTTGGATGCTTATATTGTCTCACTATGTTCTCTCGGAACACTCTTTACGAAAGACAGAGAACAAAAGATAGTTCCTTAAGGTCTTTGCTTCACGTTTAGTGTATTTCTAGAGGAAATTTGAAGTAACAGGTACTTCTAATAAAACATTTCTAAAAGGGAAAAGATCGAGTGTTATTAGTAGCCTGTAATGTGAACAAACGCTTGATGCGATCTTGTTAAATTCTAAAAAGTTAAGAGATAAAGGTTAATTTTAGAGTGCCGTGGTGAAAAGAAAGGAAATGCCTACTTGGAGCCAACATCTCGGGCTTGATGACGCTGAGGTAGGAAATGATGTACCACTAATTTGCTGGGATGACATGTATGTGTTCAGTATAAATCTTCATGTGGTGGGAAATTGAGTGAAATCAAAACAGGACTCAGAAGTTCACATGAAATGTTCGTATTTGATTTATTGACGAACTGTTGAGGATTGTAATTTGTCACAAGGCATGATGGTTATGTATCAAAAATATTGGAGTTCACCAACTTCTCTCAATCTTACCACATATATCTGCCACTTTTGCGATGGTGTTGGGTCGAAACTATAGTAGGATCTGTTGAAAATTGAATGGAGAATAAAAGAAACTCCATAAAGTAATATGTATTCGAATGTGATGAACGATACAGATAGTTTGGTTATCGGGCTTATTTTTTTTTTTATAATTGTCATCTTACTTAATCTCATTTGATTATTAGAGAAAAACTGTACGGGGAAGCTGTTCAAAATTTTTTTTTTTTTTTGTCTAACTAATTCAATTACGTTTATAGGCGGAGAAGGTTGAAAAACGTGGGCGGTATATTGCTGTAAGAACATTGGTTGCTGCTGCAGTTTATCCATTAACACATGTAAAAATTCTATTTCAACTTGGTTATGAACCATTTCCCTTAGCATCTGGAAAATTCTTATGGTTCTTCCGTGAAGCATATTTTCTTCCAAATGGTTTCACATATGGTATGCACTTTTGTTTTTTTCATATTGCTGCTTATATTTTGTTTGTGTTTCGGAAAATTTCAATGGATATTTTTGTAGAAAATTAGCTGTCTTTTGCTTACTTCCTTTTCATATTTCTATCACTTTATTTAATACTTTATATTTTTTATAGTTAATACTTGAGTCATTACAACACATATTAGATGTAGTTGTTGATTATTTAATTACTGTTTAATTTTAGCCAAAAAAATATACAACCGCTTTGGACTATGCAAACTTTATACTGGGATCGATGCTTCCATAGTTTCTCAGTTTACTTCCGGGTTGATTGATCTTGCAACAAATGTTGTTGGTTTTTATTTTATCATAATAAGTTTTTAGAGTCTTTTTAAAGGAACAAGTCATATGTTAGCAACTTTATGTAGGGAGTAAGTAGTGAAAAAGTTTGTAAAGGTTTTTATAAAAAAGTTTTTATAAGCTTTTAGTGTTGCTGGAAAATAAAGTGTTTTAATGTACATTTAAAGTTGCATAGATGACATCTTCGTAACATAACCAAAATCTGGTTTCAACAATTATTACTGTTTGTTATTAAATTTATTGGAAAGTTTTCTGAAGTCCATATAAGAAATTGTACATTGTTGTCGAATATACTAATTAGTGAGAAGACTTCGTATCCATCAATATATTAGTTTTATCTAATTGAAAGTTAAAGTAGTTCATCACTTATTTTTAGTATAAACAGTTTCGTGCAATTGTGTTGGTGGATGCAACTTTCATTTTTGCAGTACATGGATCGCCATTATTCCGAAATTGGTGGAAAACCAATTAATCTAGACAAAGAAGAATCAGAAATGAGTGATACGGAAAGTATGCGTCGTGTCCTTCGTTTCGCTATACGAGAAAGTATTTCTCGTACTGCTGCTATTATTGTTTCACGTCCATTCACCGGTATCTACTTGCTTAGATATCTAAGAAGTTTAGTTTATGATCTTAATGAAAACGTATGCAAAAATTTCAGTAGTTATGATCAGGCAGATTGCACAAATTGTGGGCGATGAGCTCAAATATCACAACGTATTATCCTCTTTGCGATTAGTTGGCATTGAAGAGGGTCCGAAAGGATTATTTTCGTTAGTTTTTAATATTTTTTGGTTTGAGTAAAAATACTTGGGCTGTATGTTTCAAAATGTTGTTTTGATAAAATATGAATAATTTCTTAATTAAGTTTGTGTTTACACCATTAATGTAATTTTTGTAATTTCTGTAATATTGTAATTCAGGGTATGTATATCATTTCAGAGGTTTGATCCCGCAATTGATTGTAGAGTATCTGTCAATATGGGGTATACAGTTTGTACATTTTGGTATTGAACGTATGACATTGCGTGCTCAGCAAGATGCCATTGTATGTTGATGTTACTGAAGGTGTTATATTCGAGTTTTAATAGCTCCTGGTGTTTTGTTAAAGATGGACTTTTGATTTCGTTTTGAATTTCCCCAGTCTTGGTAGAAAATATTGTTTTAATTATTTATTTTAATTATTAATAAGGCCAACTTCAGGATACTCTTATTTGCCATTCTAACAATTATACCATTAAAAGTTATCGTTACAGCGTTCTAATAATAAGGAAGAAGAGAATTTTGTTGTTTCTACACGCAAAATGCTATATTTGATTGCACCAGTATTTGTGAACAGCTTTACATATCCATTCCAAGTGGTATCAACAGTAATGGCAGTTGCTGGTTCCGGGTAAAAAAGTTTTTTGAAAATTTTACATTTCAGTTAAGGTAAAATAAGATTGGGATGTTCGATCGCAGCTCGTTTCTTCGCAATTTCTGTATCTAGATTATAGCATAAATTAGTATGCACCGTTTAACAGCGCTCTGGTTATTGTACTATTGATCTACATCTTTATTAGTCTTCATTAGTCTATGAAATGAAATATCGCTTTGATTTGTTGAAGCTTATTGGTTTATCATTAAATTTTTGATGAATTTTTTATTCACTATAGACTCGTGGTTTCGATGTTGCCATATAGTCCACCCTTTGCGTTATGGCAGGATGCTTATGATTATCTCTTGCCAGTTAACGGATTAAAACGAGGTTCGAGAATGTTCTGGCGGGAACACTCTGGAGCTGTTACTGTAGGCTCTAATAAAGAGCTTTATGCTGCCAATAAATATTTCATGTATGTTATTATTTTTTGTTCATGACCCCACGAGAAATCTCCTTTTAATGACTCTTGTTAAAACTATTTGGATTTATGTCTTTACTGTTGATGTTTTAGCTCAGTAGTTACAACTGGAAGAGAAATATTGACATAGGACTTTAGTGGGGGAGTGCTGGACTTCCATAACTTGAATGATGAGTTTGTGGATGACTTGTTAAGAAGGAATAATACGTTAGAAAGGATGCAATATTTGTAAGTAGTGACCAGTTAATATTATTTTCAGATGATGAAAAAGATCGATGGATGCTACCATTTTCAAGAATTTGTGTGACTTTTTTCTTTATATTGCAGTGTTTATTTATTAGGTATATTGTCAATAAATAATGCTAGCTCGTTTGTGAAATTGTAGAAAATTTAAAATGTTGCTGATGACATATGTTTGCTAAGGAAAAACTCACACCTTCACTACTTTGTTATAGTTCGATTTCTTTTTTAAATAATATAGATGAGTGCATCACATATGTTTTGATTATCAGTCGATAGTGAATCGTTTTTATAAAAGATAAATTTTAACAGGATAGAATTGTTTTCACTGAAAAAGCAAAGAGAATAGTTTCCAAAAAGAAATCAAAATACGGTTGATTTTCTTTTAAAGCCACGAGAATTTGTTGGTCTCTACGCACGATTAATTTGTGCTGATTACTCTTTCTAAATGCATTTATTTAAAATACGGCATTTCAATAAAATTCAAGGTATAGCTTACCCTCTTCCACTTTTCACATCTAGCTTGGTTTTTGCAATTTTTTCACGGCATAAATAGAAGCACCATCTGTAAAGTTGTGCAAGTTTGTTGGTATACTTTGTAATCGTGCATTTCAGCCGTTATCTTGCACATCCAGTCTTTATCACCATATGGTGAATTTGAATATTTTTCTTTGAAGTTTAGATTTTGCACTGAATTTCTAAAAATCTGGCGGTTTGTGATTGTGATGATGCAGTTACTAAATCGATAGGACCGCTGTGCGGTTGTGTTCCCTTGGTGGCAAGTAATCACGGCGATGTTTTCGGGTTGTGGAAGCGGAAATCGAAATACTTCGGAGTTCAGTTCCTCAAAATATTGTAAACATATAATAATCTTGAACTGCAGTCAAATGCTAAATAGCTTTTTTTGCAAAATTCTCAGTATACCAAATATGCATTTTGCTTGTTTGCTTAACTCCGCATAAGAGAGATTTGGGGGAATGATAACTTAAAGAGAATAAGGGATCAGAAACGGTATGGATTAAATTACTATAGTAAATTCCGTGAAGACACTTCGTGATTGCAATGGAGGAGAATGTTCTGGTGGAAATTTAAAAGAGCAAATCAATGAAAATAAAAGTAACAAGAAGAAAATTTAAGTTCCACTTGTAAAACAACAGAATGCCACCTAAGAGTTGTTATTCACTCAGGTAGAAGTGAGGATTGCTTAACAGCCATATCAATGCAGGAGACAAATTCAGACAAAACGTTACATAACGATTCGATGCTGTCGATGAGCAGCGCTGTTGGTTGGTATCATTCTTTCTGGTTCTCATTTCCTCTTTGTTGATTAGATTTTCAAAAGTTTTATGGTCAGTTCTTTCCAATTTTCATTTAAAGTTATACTATTGAAAGAAAACTAATCAAGGTATAGTGCAAAAATTTAAGACTGCAATGAAGATTTTCATAACTAATGTGTAGTTTTAGGATAATTTAAGGAAATTTAAATAAGCACCGAAATGGTATGAATCACATATGACGGTAGCAATATTAAACTATAAATATAATCAACTGTAAAGGTTGTACGTAGAATGTTTTCAGGTATCACTCATGAATCGAGTGAGAATACTAGCATCGACAGCTCGACAAATTTAAGTACCAAATTGTCATCATTTTCAGCACAAAGCACCCATGAAGAACTCGATTCCAAACTACATTACCCTTTAAGAGAGGTATGTTTCTCTCTAAGCGATACAAAAGAGAAGTACTGTATGCAGTAACGTATCAGTTGGAATTCATTACAGCATTCTGAAAGAGATGAAAAAGTGCTGATAATTTCAGTCATGGTGCAAGAAATGTTTTTTAGGAAATGAATGTAACTGAAATTGATGGCTATGATATTTTTGCAAACAAAATGATGACACGTTTGATTGATAACTTACGAGCCAAGCATCTCCATCAAGGTCTTCTCATTCAATTCTTCATCAATAAAAATGACAAAATTTGTATATTTATGCGATGTAGAAAAGAAATAGAGTCAAATAATAGTCAAATTTGTTTATTAATACATCGATTGCTTTCTACTTCAGATGAAAATGACAGAATGAAATTACAGATGATGCTCGGGTGATCCTTATGAGACGTGGTGAAACTGTTTCTGAAGTTTTCCCCAATTGGATAGTGAAAGCCTTTGACGACTCCAACCTCTACGTGTCATAATTGAGAAATTTGCATTAACTTTTAAATAAGTTCAATTAATTGAAGTAGTTCTTAAATAATATAGAATAGATCCTTCTTTATTTTCATTCCTCACTACATCTTTACCAATATTACTAATATTTTTACTACTAATAAAAACCACTTATTTTTAATTCAACTTTTAGTAATTAAAAAAATGACCGGATAAAGGGTGCATTTAATAGTAAGACCAAAATGAGAGTTTTTGAAACTCATCTACCCATTAAAATCTACTCATTTTCAACCCATTAAATAATAACAATGAAAAGTAGAGTGATGTGGAAATGCAAACAAGGGCACTAAAATTATTTTAAAATTAAGAGGTGAAAAAGGAGTCACGAATTACATTTAGGATTAGTGATCGCAAAATAAAGTTTATTAATGAAATTTTTTCAGGCCATATGATCTTAATATGCCTGACACATTGCGAAGATGTGAAAGGCATGATAATTTTTTGGTGATTTTTTCTGAAGTATTAACTGGAATTTTCCGTTGTTTATACAATTATTAGAATTAGCACACAAACGTAACGTCGATAACTTTTATAGTAGCCCAATATTCTAAAATGTACGGATAATTTATTAAGCGGTAATCAGTTTTATAATTTAACGATCCAGTAACTTAGAGAACTTCAGCCATTTACAAAACAAAATCTCTTGTGTCTGAAAATAGTTTCTAATCACTTACTTCTTTTTTCTTTGAAATTTCAAAACTGAACTGAAACTGTGCTGAAGATCGATCCACCATTAACAAACGTCAGCGCACATTTCGCAGCTAAAACTGGCTTTGCCATGACTCAAAACTTGCCAACAATGGTTTATTCAGCACCGGAAATGGCAGTGCTGCAAACTGCTCGACAATTTATAAATGGTGCTGGAATCTTTATGAACTGCTTGGTCGAGCCAGGACTTGTTAGATACTTCTCACCTTATGAATCGAGACCAAGTAATTGCCATTTATCAACATTGCTAAGCAAATTTTATCACTGTTAATCAAATATTTTCCCAGCAGAAAACTTATAAAATATAACAGAGATTATTAAGGTGTCACAATGTCAACAGGAATAAGCAGTCAAAATTCAAAAATTCCACTTAATCAATGAAATACATTAGTGAAATACATAACGAAATAAGCTGCAGTTACTTTTATTTTACTTTGCAAATATCTTCTTGGTAAAATTTCTCTCGAACAGTGTGATATAGCATAACGCAACTGGTCTAAAAAATTCCTTTACCTGAAAGGTACTTATTCGACCTCAAAATATCACATATCTGATATCCTTTTTTTTGAAGATACGATAAAATGATAGCCTTTATTTCTGTTTTCACGAGACTTACTGCTCATTTCAACCACTGTAAGACTGATAATTACCTAAACATTTTATAGTTTTCACAGTCCAACTTCAACAAAAGACTATATATACGATTGAAGACATTAATAGCATTATTGGGAAAGAAACGTTCGATGAATTTGAAAACAGAATTGCGAAGGTTTACATCATTTTCCTTCGTGATTTCCCACCTCCAGTACACGATGTTTTCCAAATACTTTTTAATTTAGGTTGTCTCAAAACTCCAATTTCCACATAAAGCAAGCACTGTTCTGATTGCTGAAGATTGTGTCATCAATGCCATTGTGCAGAAATTCATTCGTAATGGAAATAAGCTAACCACAAAACAGGTACTATTGTTGTTATTCCACCAGAACAATTCGCCAGAACAAGAATGCAAAAATACAGATTGTGTTGAGATGAAACTATATCTCTTGGATATAGTCGATCAGAATGATACGCCGAACTATCGTACTCTTTTCTCTCATACTTTATCCTTACAATAATGATTTCAGAAAATTGAAAATGAAATATAAAAAACTGAAAACCGCGTAGTTCTTAAAAATGAGGCTGGACAGAATTTCCATCCAAAAAAACTATTTAACAATCATTGTACACTGAATTACTACAGCACTCGACAATAAACCAACGGATTCCCCGACTTTCTTTGATGCATTTCGATATTGATAGTAACGGAAAATGGAGACCAAGTTCTGCATCACTACCTGGTTTACAAGGTGTTACACATACCATGTTCAATCAGCCTGATGTCAATTTTCTAATCAGACCAATATATGATTTTTGAATGGTTCATATTTTTTCAACCACAGAGATATAGAACCAAAACATAACTCAATTTCGAGAAAAAAAAAATGAATTGGTTGCAGTACATTTCCAAAACTCTCAAGAAACAACTACACTCTAAATTACATTAATTTTGTACCTCATTTGTTTACATTGACTTGATAAAGATATGATTGATTTCATCCATTTTTATAAATCAAAACATATTTTATAAAATTGTGAGACAGTGTATCTTCCACTACTTCAAATCTCAAATTCAACTACAACCGGAGTAAATTATCCCATCATCATTGCCAATCAAAATACAAAAATTCAAAACACAAAGCGCTTTCTTTTTTAGCGATTTCCCTACCAGTACAGATTCTGGATTGTTTCATATGAAAATTAAAATTTTATTGTTTGCTTTCTGATATACTACAGATGTCAAAAAATTAATTAAGAATTATTATTCAAAATTAACTAAACATTTATCCAATACATCGGATCCTATGTTTCGCCAAAACTCCCATAGATCATTAATGAAGAAATCATTCAGCATCAGACTTAGATTACAGGTACTTCTGAATCTCATCGTAAATAGCTAATACCAATGCACCACCGGTACCTCGAAAAACGTTTGATAATGCGCCTTTGAACATCGCACTGGCGCCTTCGTTTCTAATTATTTTTACGGCACAATCCATTGAATTCTGTAAAAACGATCCAAAAATTCATTTGTCGACTATTTCTGTATTCGAACCAGTGCACGCAAAGAACCTAACGTTATTAATACATAACCAGTTTTATTAATGAAATTTACCGCTTCAAACTACATTGCTCATTACTAATGAAGTCGAAGGATCACAAACAAATGAAAAGGCTAGAAGAATATAAGACAATCTTCCAGATATTTCAGTAATGCAAAAACATGTCTATGTGAATAGCTGAAAATATAACATACCTTGTAAAGGATATCTTTACGTCCAGATTGCATCATCATTCGACGGCGTACAGTATCCCAAGGATATGAAAGTATTCCAGAGCTTACAGTTACCACTTGTGCAATCATCCAAGCGAAGAAGAAGTTCAGTTTCTTTTCACCAGCCACAAGTGTTTTCACAGTATCAAACATACCAAAATAAGCTGCACGATAAATGATAATTCCTTGTACTGATACCAGGAAACCCCTAAAATTCAACAGAGAAATAATATTGTTAAAAATTAGTTTCTAGCAACGTAATGGAGGCCGTTTTTTCCTTAAAAAAATTCTACTGATTTATCATCCTATATATACATTTTTGCCTAAACAACAAATGGTAAAATGCGCTTCAAGCTCAAACTCTGACAAATCTAATTTTCACTTACACTGACAAATTTATAACTTACGAAAGACATGGAACAAATTAACAATAGCCTCACAGCTGAAAAAAGCATAGAAATCTAAGAAAAAATGAAAGCAAATTTTATTTCAATATAAACATAAACCTGAGATGTCATATAATGAAAGCACACCTGTATAATCCAACTACACCATCGGATTTTGCAACCTTCACAATACAATCCGTCAATCCCCTGAATTCTCGGCTATCACCTTTACCGATATCAGCAGCAAGTCGAGTTCGAGCAAAGTCTAACGGGTATACAACGCACATCGATGCCGCACCAGCAGCGCCACCTGCTGCAAGATTACCTGCGAAGAATTTCCAGAACTGTTTTTCCTTGTCTAACCTGAAAATAGTAAATATATATTTCAGTTATAAAAAATAGAAATAATAATATCATATACAACAGTTTTGTATGAAGATGAATTCAATTCAAAAGATAGTAATATCTCGTTATTATCAATTACTTCTTTTCATTAAGCTATTATTAAAAATAAAATTTACCCTCCCATGAACATCTTTTTGAATGTATCCTTGAAGGCAAAATTAAGAGCTTGTGTGGGGAAATATCGGATTACATTAGCCAAATTACCCCGCCATAGAGCAAATAAGCCTTGTTCGCGAGGAACTCGAATCAGAACATCAAGTATACCCTTGTAGCGCTTCTCAACAGCAATTGTTTTCTGAGCATCTTGAACCTGAACGAGTTATCAATATAAATGCATGGAGTAACAACCTGAAATTCAATGAGTCTAATTTGAATCGTCAATTAACTTCTCATATCTAAAATATATCAAGTATATCTTTGTAACGCTTCTCAACAGCAAACAGAATATAAAAATGCAACTCATACTTGCAACAATATTTTCACTCTTTCGATAGGAGCAACTGCAGTTTTTGATATTGCAGCGGCGGTGCCACCGGTCGCCAGGTCAACGAAAAACTTCTTTGGGTCAAAACTTTTAATATCTTGCTTTTTGGATATATCCATGGGTTTGTCTGAAATAAACACGACCAAGTGTAATCATGTATGTATTCATAAAAATAGGCTAAATATCTCATAATTTTACAGAAGATAAAATGATAATGAATAAGTTAAGCAAAAGTTCTTAAGCAAATAAGAATGTTATTACCAATGAGATTTAAAAAATAAACTAAAACAATGCCTAATACTTCGTTTAAAGAATTCAGAAGCAATGAATAGAATACATTTTGCAATCAGTAGACATCTAAGCTAACAGTATCACTAAAATTTCGTTTTATAACAAAAATTTCCCTGAATTATTTTCGGCATAAAATACTTGAATATAAAACCTATTCCATGTATTCTCACAGAATGGTTGCTAGATATTATTAAATTTCAAACACCTGCATTTTCTTTAAGAGGTGACGTTAGTGTTGTTATTTTTCTAGTGGGAAATGGTTATGAAAATGTTGGCATCGGTGATGCGGCTTTTTCCTATTAAACATACCCAATATATAACTAAAAAAGGAAAAGTAATCATTCAGTGAAACAATAAATTTCGACTGCATTATATAACTCGGGAATCAAGATTGGGCAAATATCAAAGTTTATGAAAGATTAAGAGAATTAATATTTAAGGAAAACTATGATCAGATGAAGTCATAAATTAAGCAAGTATAAAAGCATAGGCAAACATGACTTCCCTATACTTCAAGTTTACTAATTCAACAGATTACAAAAAACCTACACTTACAATCTACACTTACCTGTAGTTACAAGCTAAATAAACTTCTAACTAACAACTTCTTTACTCTAAGAAGAAAATCCGATCTGTGAATTTGTTTGTGCTAACCTGATTTAGCATGCAAACTAAAAGTAATGATTTGATACTAAAAATTTTTCTAAGAAGAGTTTCTAACAAATTTGTAGTGAAAAAAACTTGCAGTATAAATGAAGTGGTAAAATTCAAAAGTAGAAAAAATCCAAAAGTAAATCACCTTCCGCCATCTTTGTTGCGTAAAGATAATAATAGTTGGGATTCCTTTCAATCTATTTATATCTGAAATTAATGAAATTGAAGTACAACAAATAATGGCATTGACGCATTGATGACGTCATCAATAAAGTTTCAAATATAATTGATGTCTATCCTATTATTTGCATATAGGAAATAAAAGTATATGGAAGTAGATTATTGCCCAAAAGTTGGCCATCACCAAACGCTTTAAATCTCAATGCAGGTATAATAGAGGTTAGGGTTTATTTTAAACTATTATTAATGAATCGGATATAATAAGATATTACATGGCTTGAAGCGGATGAATGTCTCGAAAGTAACCGTGGAAGAAAGTATAATGGCAGTGACAATAGCAATATCTGTGCTCATTATTTTAAAATTTATTATTTTCCATTCCACTCAAATAGGAAACAGCCCTCTTATAGTTCAGTGAACATCTTCTTGAGAAATAGCATCTAACATGTCAGAGTGATTTTAATGCTTTTGTACGGTGATATTGAAAGCAGAGAAATACGTATCACCAAATGATGATATCAGTAGGTTGATTCTTTATATCTCATAGCAAAGCATAAATATTAATATTCTTTATTGCAAATCGAAACAGTTCAACTTAACTTTCATTGTACTTACATTTGAGGCTTCTTAAAAGATTGTTAATTGAGTTAACAATCAATCTATCTAATTAAAGAAAAAACAAATCGATCTTGTTTACTTGAAGATCTCATAATGTATAAGTCTCCTCCTGATAATTTTAACAACTCGTAGAATTCACAAATCTGTTGAAAAGAAAATTTTTTGATAAATTATTCAAGACATACAAGAAATTATTATCAGGAAAGTATCGAATCCGGAATGGAATGCTGTCGATACCTTCTTCCTTCTCCTTTCGCATTCACAAACACAGACACACACATATACACACATACTTAAGAGAACACCGTGATGCCACTTTCTCCCGGAGCGGTGAACCTCCTGCCAGTGCGGGGGAGACAGACGGAGAAACTGATGGTGTGCACAGAGAGGAGAGAGAGGGAGAGGAAGGACAGACATGTCTGTGATGGATAGTTGCACTTCTTTCATCCGTTCGCTCTGCAGTGCATCCGTTCTACAATGCACTGGGATGTGCACTTCGTGCGGGTCGCTCAGTTATCTGCACGTAGGGATTCTGACGGCTTGCAGATGGACGAGTGGTTGCTTTGCATGCACATTGCACGTGCATTGCTTTGCAGTGACCTACGTTTAGCTGTACAAGTGGGAAATAAATGAATGCATGGAATGACCTATGGTACTAGCGTAAAAAAGAGTTATGTGTAAGTCTTACGTACGAGCATGGGAATTTGCTAATCAAAAAGTTTTTTTTTAATTTATATATATCTATTTCAAAACCATGTGCAAACGCCATTGCAAATAAACTTTCCTTGAGTGATAAGCCTTCCTTCGATGATCGATTCACTGTGCTATACGAAGTTTAAATCATTCCATTCGTTAGGAAGACTTCTCGAAAAATATCTCTATGAAGCCATGGAATTAATCCACTATTAGTGCTCCTTAAAGCTTAAGTTTTTTTAACAGTCACGAAGAAATAAGTAGCATAAGTATACAAGGAAATCCCGTGGAAAATAGCTTATATAATACTATTCTTTTACTAATACTATTCGCAATGAGTTCGTATTACCGGTGCCCAGAAGCACCTGTCCTTACATAACACTCGTTGAATAATTTCAAAGACTTAATTTCACACTTTTTCTCCAATTTCGTCCGACTTCGGCTCCTCACTTTTTGACATTACTTGTAAATAAAATCTTCTGGAATGGTGGTCAGTGGTTGGGTTGAACAATGTGATTTAGAAGCATGTATAGTTAGTTCTTTTAGGAATTCTCGGCTACAGTCTCATTTCCATCTGTTTTAAAGTGAATTCAATTGTCTCAATGAGTTGAAAAGTACAACGTGAGATAGAGATAAAAAGGATTAATCAGTGTAATTCGGAGTTTGACATGACTACAACTAATTCTGTTCTCAATTCTATTCACAACACTAATAGCTAAGTTTTTCAAACAGCTCCAGTCAGTCAGTAAATAAATAATCAATCTTCGAACAAAACAGCAAGTTCTTAACAGGGAGTAAGAACTTTTGAAAGAAAGAATACTTGTGAAACTCGAATGTGTTTTGAAGAATGAGGAGGCGAATGGGTTCTGATAAGATATTTTATAGATAAGGAAGATTGATTGAATCGGTAATATAGAAAAAGAAAAATGTGGTGTAATGCCAAAACATTTCTGTGTAGGTAATTTTGATAAATATTATTAGTAATATTTTTATTAAGTAAAAGGATTTGCATGGATAAGAAAATTCATATAAAGCTAAAGCTGTAGTAATGTATCTGGTTTGATAATGTCCAATTAATCACACTTCTTATTTCTATCTAAAAGTGCGATAATTGCTCTAGCTAAGTCAGATCGATCAAATCTTCAGTTATATAAGAGGACGACGAAAGAATAGAGAAGTAACTTGAAAGAAGGTAACTTTGAAAATAACCCAAGAAGATGGCAAATCCGGAGCTTTAAAATACCCCAGTCTAACATTTTTGTACATTATTTTCGAGAGCAAATTTCTTCATGTTTAAAGTTTGCCTAGTTTAAATCATGTCACCTAATAGTTGATAAAATATTATTTAGTGAAAGAAGTAAATGAAAAAACAGTAAAGAAAAAAGCGATTACTACCAGAAATATTTGCCATTTCCGCTGGATATTTCAAGCTGGAATTTTTTCGTACATCAAGTAACTCTTCTCATTAATCTAACGTTTTTCCAGTAGTATCGCTTTTAAATAGATAATAAAGTAGAAAAAAAGTAGAAAGCAAACAATATAAAAAAAGCAAACAATATATTCATAAGTAAATAAACTCGAAATTCAATCACTATAAAATAGATGTTTCGATTCATATCGAAAACATAGTACTGAATCCTTGAAAAACCCTTGAATTTTTTTAAAGCACCAGACTTGTACTAATACAAGTTAAATACAAATTACTGCAAAACTATTACTGATTCTCCTTGACTACTTTAGTAACTTATCTGTAACCTTTATTCTGATTAATGCACTAAATAAGAATAATCATAGGAAACATATTTGTTGTGAAGTTCCTGCAAATGCAGTATGATACTGCAATATGGACACATCTTGTAACTATCAATATAATTTGATTATTCCACTTCAGAACATTTTAGCAATCTAATTTTTAGTTGACGAACTTCACTATCTTAATTAAGCACTACCTACATTTGTGGTGATCTCTTGTCTCGTTCCCCTTGCAGTTTAGTGTTGCAGCTGCAGTTCTGCTTCTTGACTTACTCGAAATGCTTTATCAGCCATATCTATGTTAGATTGTGGATTGAGTGCATACCGCACAAAATGAAATGATCCCCGCGCTATAATCTCCACACCTCTACCGTTTCCTTCAATCTCGTGGAACTTCTCAAGTTAAATAGGGTAATCAGATTTCCAATTGATCTGGGCAAGTTGCATAGCAGTACAGCAATTTTCAAATTACGATTTTTTTGAAATGTCGTTGTGGTACGATGATTTTTTTGAATTACTGCAGTTATTGTGAAAGTGGATGAGTTCATTAAAATTATTTTAAATTTCAACTTGTCCTCACTACTGTTCCCATCCGGCAACTATTAAAGGCCAGGATGCGAGAACTGGAAGAGACAGATAGGTAAGGTCAAGAATTAGTATGCCTCATCCTTAAGAAAAAGGGCTCAAGAAGAGCTCAAAAGAACCGACTTGAAAAACTGAACTTCAAGTTCTTATTTTTAGCATGGGCTAGAGTATATCTCGATTTAAAGTTGTATTTTACTAATGTATTTTTGCGCTTTGTAAATGACTTTTATACATTATGTTTTTCATTTCATTTGGAATAATACTACTTTTGGTTTCTATTTCTAGTTGATGAGCAAAGTGGCTTCGATTACAATACGTTTGGAAATACAAGCTGATGCACCGTTCATTAAGTTCGAGTTTGTTGATTCTAACGGTATTATTTGTTTATCTAAGCACATGTTGTAGGATAATAATAATTTTTGGATAGTGTTCTTGATGGTTAGAAAGGTATGAAGTAAATTGTTTGAAGTCTAGTTTTCCTGTAGTTCTATTATGATAAAATTTTAGAAGTGAAAACTAAGCGACAACTTGAAAAGAAATCAATGGCTGAAAGGACGAAGCACAAGAAAGTAAATCCGCGGCCTAATAGTGAAGCGGATTCCTTCCAACCAACTGCAGTGGATAAGACGGCAGAATTGGTAACATTGTTTCTTGAAATTTATTAAATCTAGCTAGAAGAATTTAGTTTTTTTTTTTTTTTTTTTCCTGCTGATGTATATAGCAAAACTTATTTCTCTGCATTATTATGATGCCTTCATGAATACATTTGAAACATATGCTATTACATGTTATTTAGGTTGATCAAGCATCGAAGCAAGTACAGTGCTTAGGCAATCGCAAATACACAGAAGTGATTGTGCAGACTTTCTCAAAAGATCAAAGAGTATTCAATAAAGAGAAATCTCTTACTCTCGATGGTCAAGAGGAGCCTTCATCCGTACAAGCAATTGCTTCCGGTTCTTCTCTTTCTCTAGGAACAACTGGGGAAGTGCGAAATGAATCGGGTTTGTGTTAAATGATTATTTTATCTGAGCTTTATTAGTTTGTGATTTTACTCATGCTCTTCCCTATTCGATTTTGCCTGAAGCATCGTGGTTCAGACCAAATCGATGTTTAGGGAATTTACTGTCTTAAGCGATTGATGAAGTCCACAATACTTATATGTCAGACATTAAACCACTTTGTTCTCGAATATGACATCTCCTTTTCCAGATTTATGCAATATATCATTCTTTTCCGGAAATCCATTTGTCGAAAAAACGTCAGGGATTCTTCATTTTTACAAAAAAAGGTGACGTTCTTTCGATTGTGTTGAAATTCGAAATTTCAGCAGTTATCTTATAAACTTATTTCTTGCAATTTTCCAATTCAACTATGTCGTTAAATGAATAAAATAAAAGAAAAATATCTTCAGAGAAACGAATTCAGTAGATAATGGAAGTGATTGTTCAATATTATGCATGTTAGGAGTCCCATCGTTGCTTTCATGTCGCGAGTTGTTAAGATTTATTACTCCAAGTTCACAATATATTACTGCAATGAAAGTGATACGTGATTCAACACCAAATCAGTATATGGTTATTATTAACTTCCGATCTCATGTAAGCCCAGATTTTAATAATTTTCTTCTCTTAACATTTGCAAATAAAGTCGAGTCGAGCAAATAAAGTCAAAAAAAAAAAAATAAGTCGAACATTTGGATTATATTTATTGTTCCTTTAAGATAATATTTATGATCATCGATAAAGAGTGAGATGGAATAATAAAAATACTTCTACGTTTTTCAGGATGCTGCTGTACGTTTTTACGATGAGTACAATGGCATAACATATAATGCAATTGAACCAGAAAAGTGTTCTTTAGTCTTTGTTCAAAAAATTGAATCGGTATATTCTCTTGATCCATATTTATTCTTGTAATATTGTATTTTTGTTACACTTTTCCTGTTTCTTAAATACCTTCTTTTTATCTTCGATTTTTTAGTCACCAGATTTATTTCTCTGTAATGGAGTTCATTTCTTAAAATTTTATGAGTTATCTAATATATGTTGTAAAGAAAAATCAAGATTGGAGGAAGAGAAGAAGGAAGGATTTCTTTCAATTCTGAATCTTGTGTTTCTCAAGAGTTTGACTTTTAAGGTTCGTGAAGAAGCTGGTGGTAGCTTGCCTGCTGAAAACATGACAGAATTGCCAACATGTGCTGTTTGTCTGGAACGTATGGATGATGGTGTGCTGACTATTCTATGTAACCATACTTTTCATGCTGAATGTTTAGAGCAGTGGGCGGACACGACGTAAGATGTAGTTTATTAAATAGTCTTAGAATTCTTATGTTGAATTTTTCTATCTGCTCATTGATGATACTTTCAGATGTCCAGTATGTAGGCATAATCAAACGCCTGAATTGGTGGCGGATCAGAAGTGTTCTGTTTGCGGAAAAACTACGGATTTGTGGATATGCTTAGTTTGCGGTAATATTGGTTGCGGCCGATATGTAGAAGGTCATGCTTATAGGTTAGCATCTCAACCGAAAGGTTATGTTATTGATTAATTATCTACGATCTTAATCGTATGTTGCATGTCTTTCCAGTACAGTGATGTTTATTTGCTTATAAATGTCACTTATTTGCAGAGTCCATAGTTTGTACCTTCCTTTATCGTTTTGTCTATCTTTGTACACACTTAACGACTGAGTAATTTCTGCATGTTATATTTGATTTGACAAATTGTTAATGGAAACAGATTCATTTTATATATCATTGCAGACATTTTGAAACAACTTCACACACATTTACTTTGGAAATTGGTGGTGAACGTGTGTGGGATTATGCGGGTGACAATTATGTTCATCGCTTGATACAGAGCTCACCTGATGGCAAAATGGTCGAATACAGGAGAAGCGGTGTTAGTGATAGCGGTGTATGTTCTCCTAAGCAATTCTGGAAAACTATTTTTTTTTTTAAAAAAAAAGAAATATCTTGATAAAAAAATTGGCTTTCTTTGTCTGAATCTTAAACTTGATAAAGATTTTATTTTTCTAGGAAAATCCAGGCGAAAAATTAGAATCGATTCAGTTGGAATACACTTGTTTGCTTACGAGTCAATTGGAATATCAAAGGACTTTTTACGAGACCAAAATGAACGAACAAGAACGACTATTTAGCACGTTAGAAAAGCATAATCAGGCTCAGGTTTTGTACTATATGGGATAAAGTTTGCAGGGTTTGAGGAAAAATTCAATTAGTCACTCATCAAAATGTCATCGCCTCTTGATATTAGATGAAGTTGTTTCATACATTACTACGTTTTGACATACTTCTCAGGATGTTAAAATGTCTCTCTTTTTATTCAAAATAACAATTTGGCTATTTAACAGAAATTTGGGAGACAAAACCTTTTCAAAGTTTTAAATTTTAATAGGTTGACAATCTTGAGAAAGAAATGGAGGTAACACGACAGGAATGCGATGAATTAAAAAAAACTTTAGCTTCTTGTACACAACAACGGCGCACTATGGAAAAAAAGTGTCAAAATATTCAGAGTAAATTGAACAAAGTAATACTTCCTTTCTAAATATATGTTTCAAACTATTTTATATTTACCATTAAAACTGTGATTCGCAACCGTTTCTTATCCTATACAAAGTTCTTCAGTTTTTTACTTGGAACGGAATTCAGATTCAAATTAAAATTATGTGGTTAGTTATCGGTTGGCTAGTGGTTACCCAATGTTTCTTGTAGGTGTTTGCTGGTTGTTATTGAAATTATGAAACTTATTTACAGGCATTAGAAGAATTGGCAGAGGAACGTGCTTTAAATAAGTTATTACGATCCGATCAGGAGAAGTGGTCTGCGAGATTAACAGAAATGGAAGCAAAAAATGCCAGTTTACACGAGAAATATGTTTCTGTAAGTATCATTTTATCATTCCTTTATTACTTATTAAATCGAATTCTAATATTATGTTTTTTTCAGACAGTTAATGATCTCAATGAACAAATTCGTGACTTAATGATGCACTTCGAAGCCGAAGCTAAAATACAGGATGCAGTAGAAATGAATAAAGTTACCGAACAGGTTGTTCTTTTATGTTTAATTCTCTTGAACTGGGGAATCATAACCAATAAGGTAACAGTTGCGAAAAAAGTGGTCGAATACTGTTTGTATTTTGGATCATTGTAACTAATTATTAGTTACAACGTTTATTGTTAGTTAATTTATTATTTGGCTACTGTGTTTTTCAAATTTCGAAAACATTAGATTTTTGTTTCATTTTTCAGGAAATTAATGAAGGTAGCGTAGTTGTGGCAAATCCACCACAGCGTACCCCAATGCGAAATCGGAGACGCAGGAAGAAGTAATTTCAGCACATCACTGAAATGTGTAGAAAAGCGATTATTTTCTTTTATCTCTTCCCAATTAACTATGCTATTTCGTAAAACTGCTTTTCAAATTTAAACATTATTCTAGAATATATTCCAGCAAAAAAAAAACTGGTGCCTTGTTGTCTGTTTTGTGCTGCCATTGATTATCTTATACTTCTTGCAGTATTTATTGTCTTAACACCATCTTTGCACTCTATACGTATTGAATACTTTTTTATTTATTAGATATGAAACAAATTATAGGTTGAAATGATATGCAGTTCATTGTTTAGAGGATATATATGTTGCCTTTGAGATCTTGTGCATAATTGTAATTAAATATTTTATGTAAAGTCCTGAATAGTTCATTGTTTTATATAGTTCATAGGATGGAGATTTAATCTGATGATATCTGAAAACGTTAGATTTCATTCCTGTTTTTATTAGGTCGTTAGAAATATATCTTTGTTTTCAGGTATGGCTTTTGCCATTTCCATATGACTGATCATTTTCTGTTTTTGTTATTGGGTCATTATTTTTTTCTCGAGTATGTCAACCTAATTTTGAACAATAAGCAAATGGAGAAGATTCGTGAAGTATGTACTACAATTGTTTGAAAGCGTTTTGACCTTCGAATGATGGTTTTTCTTGATGACATCAAAATATCTGTTCTTGTAAAGTTTTTTAAAAAAGAAAGAATGAGAAATAGTGAAGATTTATTGGGTTAACAGCATTATCAGCTGAATAACAAACAGCCTTGTAGTGTATCTTGCGGTGACTCTGAGAAAGTGTAAGGAAATTCTTTGTTGACATCCTTTTCATTCCTTATGACTTCTTATTCATCACACCTTTATCGCTAAATGTGCTACGCAGATCTTCACAATACGTGATATTGAATTTCCTTTCGAAAAAGTTGCCCCTGTAACGTTTGTATTTTCATTTCCCAGTCTGTTTAATTTTCCAACCAGTTATTTGTTTTCATATTTGGTGAAAAAAAAATTAAAGGATGGGTTGATATGATGAATATAAGATTAAGCTTTAAGTAGCAGAATGACCGTAGTTATCTGTATTTTGTCTCCTTATCAATTTCAAAAATCAGTTCTGAATTTCGATATATCCACTCTCTTTAAAGTGGCAGCAAAAAATGATATTTTTTGCTGTAATATTTTTTTCGCGTGAAATGTAATGATTTTAACGGAAAAATTAAACACGAGAAAGAAATTTATGTTATAGTCATGAACTGATTCATCTTTCTTTCTGAAAAATGTGCGTTACCAAAAAAAAAAAAAAATTGTGTCATTGGAGCTTTATTTAAATCTTTTGTAGTTTTTTCATCAATTTTTTAATGAATCCCTATCAAACAGTCTGCTGATCCATTCATGATCGTTGCACTGGAAAAGCTCATGTATGCGAGAAATTTAAAGAATAGAACGGGATCCGAAGTAATTCGTTCTTCCACTTTTTAAATCTACCTCATAAATCATTGCCTCCTGTTTAAACTATTTGATTTAAAGATTCCTTTCAGTTCTTTTGAAGAGAATTTTCAAATAATCGTATTAAATTCTTAAATCCTACCTTATCTTAATGATGAATTGAAAAGTAGGCTAAAGATTTTTGGTACAGTTCTTTTTTTTAAAAAATTTTGATCTGAAAATTGGTATTTAAGAGTTTTCATTTTTAAGTAAAGTTTTACAGGAATAGCTTTTGCATTAGTGTGCTATTTAGTAAATGCACCAAATTTTAATTCATAAGCAAATTTTACGGACGCTTACATTTTCTTTGGAATCAATTATCAGTGATAAGAACAAATGGACAATTACAGAAATTGCATCAAGTGATAACGTCGTCCCCAGCATTCCCTATATACTTTATTATTTTGCATTTCGAAAAGAGAATTTTAATTATAAAGCGTTAATAATTATGAATCATGAAGGTCACAGAAACAAATTAATAACTGGTTGATGGTATCACACAATAATGTAATATTAAAATTAATTTAAGCATTCCATGTTTAAATTTATTTTTTTCGGCAATTTTGAATCATTTCATACCAATAACAACATACAGTGTTCGCTGCAGTAATATTTTGCTGAATTTCATTTTTACCTCCAACAATTATTTCATGAAAAAACTAGATAGCATTCTGCACCTGCATTCTTACTCCCTGTACTTTTCAATAATATTATATAACTATTGTTAGTGTTAATATTATTCACAGATTTAAAACTGTTCGCAGACAGTTCTCTCAATTTTAGAGGGATGGCATAATCACGATTTTTTTTATAATCCATTCAATTTATCTGACATTTCTAATGTTGAATGCTGTAACTACCGAACTTTGTCATGCTATCTTCACTTGAGTAAATCTTCCAACTGTGATAAATTTTTCAAACCAAACATCTCTACAAAGATTATTTATAACTTTAAAGTTGTCTTTTCTGATCAATAGGTCAACGATCTCAAAAATATTCCCACCTAAAAATATGTACACCATTTCTTCTATTTCTACTACTGCTACTACCATTGCTATTATATTAAAGCAAAAGACATTAGCCACCAGACATCTCTATATAAGTTGGATTCATAACTTATCCCAAACTAGTTTTCTTTAAATGCTGTCAGGATATTTATTAATGTCTTTTGCTTTAATACAGTTCTATGTGTGATCAAATATTTCTTCATATTTTGTAAATTTTTATTTAAATCAGCAAACTGATCAAATGAATTCAATAATATAAAGGGAAGAAGAGAAACAATAAGCCTTAACTGATGAATAAATTTTATTAGCTTTTACAATAATTTTATAAAACTCCAGTTTAAATAACTGTCTTGGATGAAATGTTGCTCCACTTAACATTTACTACATCTGATATCTATTAGTTATCATTTAAAAATTCATGCATCTGACACATTTCCTTCTTTCGAAGATTACCACAAACGGTACTCTTACTTCGATGCATTTATTCACAATTTGTTTTGTTGATTGTGCACTTCTCTTTCCCTTTAATCTTATCAGAATTGCACAAGTGACAGGAATCCATGTCAAATGATAACTTCTCCATTCCCAGTAACCATTTCGTGCTAGTGATGGCAGTTTTTGTCTTCATATGATGAAGGAAATTTGAATTGTGTTTTGAGCATTACAGAATCATTTGAAATCTAACCTAGATATCGCATTTCTGGAAGTTCACTCGAACCAGAGCATCTTTCCATATATTATGCAGCCCAATCAATCAAAGTCTATTAAACAGGGTAGTTTATTCGCTAGCATCACTCCACAATCATTTTTGACACTTAGCTATGTGATGAAAACCGATGGTATTGATCTAAATTGATATAAAGTAGAGGTAGAGGTAAGGGAACTGTTTATTATATTACCACTACTGGGATATTGCAGTTCCAAATGCAAGAGAGAAAAAGCTGACTGGGAAAAAATGTGTTTTGGAAAGCAGAAGAGGTAAATGTGGAAGTAAAGAATGAGCTGAATATGTTTCAATTGCTGAATGATGACTCATTTTGATTGTGACTCGTCATAAACTTTGCAGAAATAATCCAATCAAACGGCTGTTCAACTTATTCATCCTGAAAAAGTCGTAAATCAAACTCCGTTCAATAAAGTGAAATTGTTAACGGCTTTCTCTGTTATGTAATAAAACTGAAACTAGTCTTTCAGAGAAGTACTAACTCTCGAAAAACATAAGCCCTTATGTCATTTGAAAGTCCCAGGAGGCGGAGAATTTGCATGTAAAGTTAATGATTTGTTTACTTTGCGAGAGAATTTATTGTTGTCGGGATACTGGCCCAGTGTGGTTGCTTTCCAATCCTCACGATGAATCGATTTCGATTTGTTTGTGTTGATGGTGAAAGCTACCATACCTATGAAGGATTCTTCCCGGCATTATCTTTCAACTTCTTACTCCTTCATGGAAGTGTTTATTTCAATAGTTACTTTCAGTCTCTTTATGTGTTACATATGGTTTTGTTGTTGCGGGGACTTCTATCCTTTATATTCTATCATGTGATCTTGTCACTGATTAGATCTTAATTTCAAAACTTTGAATTTTAAACCGGATTTTTCCAGTATGTACGTTGTCATCAACTTCTATTTTAGCTTTAAATTCAGTCTTTATTTAGTATGTATAATTTTTATTTTCTTTTAATGGAAATGATTTCCGAAAATTCGTTCACTCGATAGATATTTACCGACGATTAATTACAATCAGTTCAGCAGAATGCGTTTGTCAAAATTTGCAAATCTGATGGACATATTAGATTCCTAAAATTTCATGACATTTGTCATGTTTAGCTTGGAGCAAATACATTATTATTGTCGTTAAGACCCTACTCCTCTATATCATTATAACATTTCGCTACTTCAAATAAGCGACTTAGGAAGAGAGATGTTTTATCTGAGAACGATGACTATTATAAACACAGAATTGATCCTTTCCCCTTGCAAAAGAGATCAAAGTACATGACAAAGTCTTCATAAGACAGTCATTTCGTGTCACTCCATTTTCGCATAATACACAGCGAGAAAGAGAATCAGTTTTTATTTGTGATATGCATTTTACCTTTACACAAACACAACTGGCAATTGAAATTAAATTGTTGAAAATCATTGTTACAAGCGACGAATTTTTAAAAACAAATTAAAATTCAGTGCTCTTTCCTATCTTGTTTTAGAGATCACGGTACTTCATTAGTCAACGGTTTTAAAATAATTCTCATGGCAGAAACTCCTCGACAAGACATAAGAATTTGTGAGTGATCCTGTGATCTCCAAAACACTCTCTAGCAGCTAGCACAGCAGTCATTGTGTTTCTTTGTTGAAGTGTAAATATTGTTCTTTTTTTAGAGATGATGGGATTTAAGTGTTTTATGCGAGACGTTTTGAAATTTCATCATTTAAGTATCTATCTAAATGATAGCATAGGATGGTAACATTATTTTATTAACAATTATTCTACGCTGAAGAAAAAATTAAACATGGATTTTTGAATTTTCTCCAATCTTTGCTAGAACACTGAGAAAAACTGAACGAAGATAACAGGCCAGATTTCTTTTGGTCTGTTTATTTGCCTTTTTCCTAAGCAATTGTGCTGATGTCACTCCCTTCTGAATCTAGCGTCCTTCTAAATAAGATTTTTTATCTTTAGATTGTCATTTTATTTTTAAAATTTATTTCATTTCTTTTTTTTGCATTTCTTATATACTTACCACTTGATAAGATTTGTTTGTCACGATAATTGAAGTCGCCTTCCGAAAATTCTCTTTCACAGCTTACTTTCCAAATTGCTCAGTTTTACAGAATCGTGATTATATAATCCAGCAACAAGTCTGACTTCAAAGATAACTATGAAGACTCTTTTTTGGTATGTTTGCCTCGTATATCTGACTGCCAAGTTTTTTAAACCATTTCAAATAATGATCTGCAGAATGCCTTTATTTGTAGACAAAAAGAATTATTCAAATACATTGTAGTTCCTTCATTTTGCTTATGTAAGAGAGGTTTTTCTATATAAGAAGAGTTAAAGTAGAGAAAAGATTTTTCAATAGTTTAAACTCAAATGTAGAATTGAATTAGCAATACTTACATTAAATTACCCCCACATTTTGATAAAAGAGGACGGGTACTACCCAAATCGTTAAAAATGTCGTGTAAGCAATTTTTTAAAAATTTTCAACAACAACTAGAAATAATAATTGATTTAATTACATCACCCAAAATTGCTTTCGAAATTCATGTTTTTGTACGGCACAAATGTTTCAAATCAAATTAATTCCTCTTATTATCGTTTCAGTAAAACAACTATTTTAGTTTTACATTGTGTGTTCACAAAACTTCATTCTAAGTTATAGTCGTAATTAATTTATGTAATGATTTTCAGTTCCTTTTTTAAACTATTAGAAGTGTAGAGTGCAATAGTGCTACGTGATTCGTAAGTGTAGTAAATGAGAAATAATAGATTTGCAAAAAGTAGAACAACTAGATTGTTTTCATGTCAAATATCTATTTGTCAAACTGCTAATTATTTTCACAGTTTGTTATTATTCGCGATAGCAGTGCTGGAAGCAGGTATAGTGAAAAGGTATAACAAACGCTTCGCTGGATTCAACGTTGCAGGAATTGGTGGAACAGCCGGATGTGTGGTCGTTGTATGATTTTTGAAGATATTTGAAAGATTGTGTTTTGAGTTTCTTAGTAATCAAGAGTAAAAAGGTATTGCAAGTTGTGAAACTACAGAAATTGAAAAAAGTGAAATAAATGGAAACATTTGCTACGATTAATTATTAGTGATCAAGAGACTTGGGTTCATCTTAAAAAAAAGTCATAATTTGTAGGACAACAAACTGTTTGCGAATGGTTTACCTCTTCGAGAATTGACCGCCGAAGAACAAAAAGAATTATCACGATATGTCCAAGAGTCAAATAAATACAAAGAGGTATCCTAAACTTCTTCAGGGTATCTTTCTAGTAAGGTTACCCTAAAGAATTTGAAATTTTGAATATCATTGTTACTGTGTAATTTCTTTCGTTTTTACGTAAATCGTGCAACGGTTTATCTTGTTTAAACCATTGTTTTTTTGTCGATCATTTTTGTTGTTTAACCTGCTCAGCTCAACACTGAGCAATAGTTACTAAAATTATTTAATTTTATTCCTCTAGGAAAAATTCGGAATTAAAATGGTGTTCTAGGACCGTCAAAAATATTCTCATGCTTAACGGGATTTGGCTCTTTGGCTATACTTAGCTCGAAATCCTCTGTGATATTTAAATTATCTGTTGTTCAAGTCATTTTATCATAAGATGGTTTTGGAAGCAATAAGGACTGGAATTTATAAAAGCTGGTAAATCTGGGAAACTAAAGTTTAAGAATAAGGGGAGCCCATTTTTTAGGATTTGATGACATCATTAGAAGAGAGACGTAAAGGATGGCAATTGGCGCGGCACAGCGAGAAAGGTTCCAAGATTTTATCTTCTCTCGCAGAAAAGAATTTCCCCAAACCACCTAAAAAACCATCTTTCTGTACTGCAGCTGATACTACCCAGTATTACTTCGACGGCTGCATGGTTCAGGTATTCCTATTACTGATTTTTTTAAAGATATTACTGCCGAAAACTGATTTATTGGTGATTCAAAGGTGAAAGCGTCAGAGGGATGAAAAGTTTGGAAGTTGCAGTCATTAGAAAGTAATATGATAAAATCATTGCAGAACAATAAAATATATGTGGGACGAACACTTGTACGGGATTTGACACCAGAAGAAGTGAAAGAACTAAAGACGTTCGATGCCAAAATGACTGCCTATCAGAAATATTTGTCTTCCTCCATTCAACAGGTAATAAGGGACTTTACCCAAGATAAATCTTTTAATCGACTTCATAATTTGTTCTTCCTTTAAATATAGCCATTTCATATATATATTTATAAATACAGTTCGACACTTCAGCTCTATATTTTCCAGCAAATGGATAACTTGTTCGGTGACAAGACAAACCTGTTCAGCTTATTCACGGAAACACACCTTGAAACCTCTCCACAAACAGGAGAAGCAACTGTCTCAACAACAACTCAAGTGCCAGTTGAAGCACCGGAAACACCAAGTTTCTGTATTGCAATCTACTGAAACGATTTGAATCAGAGCATGAAGAATTAAGAATGCAGTAATGTTGCCTAATATTGCTTAAACTGTTATTTATTGCTGTTTCCGTTTGTGTGTGTATGATATTCCTGCATTATTTTCACCAAAACCGAAAAATAACTCTGTCCTGTATCTTCCAGGTTTGTCACAGCTGCTTCTAGTAAAAAGATTACTTTTGAACGCCGAATCACACATTTTTTATCAATGATAGTTAGTAGTTCTAATCGTCACTATATTCTTCAAGTTATTTGTTTCCTTTAAAGTTGGTTTTGTTCTTAAATGTAATAAATATTACACAACTCCTTATCTGTTTACTGTGAACATCTCTCATTTTGACAAGACAGAATAATTGGAAAAAAAGAAAAATCTCTTGAAAAAAACAAAATATCCAGTGCAACGAAATCACAATTGATTAACAGAAGTTACTTAAGGCACATATATACGCACTCAATAATTCGGAAAAAATTATGCTAACAAAATCATAAACCTCTTCACCAATGAGGAGGTATAACACAGGAGAAATTGACTTTACACCGCCAAACGGTTCAATCCATTGAGAAAAGAAAACTAAAACCAAAACTTGAATTCCAGATCGAATAAAATTCAATTTGCTGTAATATGCGTCAGTCCAATCTTTTAACACATTTCATCGTTACTGTAAGTTCTAAGAAAAAAAGTGCACTGTATAATAAGCAACGCTCTAAAATCACTTTATGTTTGCATTATGAAAGAGTTCCGAGGGGAGTATAATTTGTAAATTTTAAACCGAATAAAAGGGAAGTGACAGTTTTACCTTTTTCTCTAGGAAGAACTTTTTATTAAAGTCTGCCAGTAGAAAAAATATTCACAAACCAATTCCTTAAAAACTTGAATACAGCAAATTGTGGAAAACGACCTCTGTACGTTCAACCAAAAGATACGCGAAAGAGGATGAACTTTTGCTGGATCAGAAACTGTCCCGAGCGACTGACACTACCTCGTTGTAAACACTACCTTGCCCAACGCATCAAACACCCAATGCAACAAGCGGACAAGAAACCATACAAAGTACCTCGTAACCTCGTCGTCCTCTACTTAAGTATCTGACCTCCACCACCCAACCCTTACAAACCCAGGTAGCGTTAAAACCCCAGGAATCAACAAAACTAACACCTCAAAACCACCTCGGCCCACAATGGTGGACCATCTGGACAAAATATGAACCATGCTCACCCTAAGATCGGTCCCAAAACCCCCCAGCATTTACATATAGGTTTTTTGCAAGCGACATTTAGTGGTTTCTGCTCTGCAGCTTCGCAGCGTGTTATCCTTTTCTCTACTACATGTTATTTTCTTGTCTTTTCCCTATGCTGTTGTTGCACACAATTTCTGTTAAATGTGATAGAAATGTTGGTAGAAGAATCGCTTATCATAATTATCTTTTATGTGATGTATACGTTGCAGTACACGTAACAGATAGATCATCAGACGTGACAGTACACGTAACAGATAGATCATCAGACGTGACAGTACACGTAACAGATAGATCATCAGACGTGACAGTACACGTAACAGATAGATCATCAGACGTGACAGTACACGTAACAGATAGATCATCAGACGTGACAGTACACGTAACAGATAGATCATCAGACGTGACAGTACACGTAACAGATAGATCATCAGACGTGACAGTACACGTAACAGATAGATCATCAGACGTGACAGTACACGTAACAGATAGATCATCAGACGTGGCAGTACATGTAACAGATAGATCATCAGACGTGACAGTACACGTAACAGATAGATCATCAGACGTGGCAGTACATGTAACAGATAGATCACTACACGTTGCAGTACACGTAACAGATAGATCATCAGACGTGGCAGTACATGTAACAGACAGATCACTACACGTTGCAGTACACGTAACAGATAGATCATCAGACGTGACAGTACACGTAACAGATAGATCATCAGACATGGCAGTACACTAACAGATAGATCATCAGACGTGGCAGTACATGTAACAGGTAGATCACTACACGTTGCAGTACACGCAACAGATAGATCATCAGACGTGGCAGTACACGTAACAGATAGATCACTAGACGTAGCAGTACATGTAACAGATAGATCACCACACGTGACAGTACAGATTTAAACATAAACAAATTCAGACAAAGAGCAAATTAATTTTATTTTCCAACTAATACACACACGCAACATCAATTTTGACGCTTTATTTATACTAATTTAATTATTTTACTGCTAAAGCTAAAAAGTGCAAAATATTACTTTTATATCACTCTTATCACGTGTAAATTTTTCTAAACGCAACATACGTACTTGCTTAAATGAGAGAAAGAACTAAATGATAATTGATAAATAATTCTTATCTTAAACGATATGAGAATAACGAAATTAGGACGATGAAAGTTAGCCAAAGTTGGTTGGATAAGCTTGCTGATAAGAAATGTCATATCACTGTATCAATCAACAACATTAACAAAAAATAATACCTAGCCTACTATTCAATACCAATTTGATATTTTTCTTTGAAATAACTACGAAATTACTATATCTTATGCGAAGTACAAACATATTCCATTATACCAAACAAAGATAGAGTTATGCTATTTCTTTATTTCATTATGTAATTTAATTTTATTTTTCTGTAGATTCACTATCCTGAAGCAGCTTGAATAGAATGATGGAAAATATATTTCTGTTTTAATTCGAGTAGTAAAAGATAGCATTTTCTTCGCTTGCTGTTGAAAATTATAGTGAAAATAACAAATGACAATAAATGGGACAATGGAGTTTTGGGAATCTAACAATAGAATAGATAAATTTCTGCAATTTATTAACTTAAATAATTAACTTTATAAAATATCATTTTCATTTTTTTCATTTTTCATTTTATAATGAAATTAATTTTCACTATCAAGTCACATCTCTAACAGATTCATATGATCACTATGAAAGCATAATTCATGTTTCTGCTTCTGTTTCTCAATTAATTTGCATAAGCGATCCATTGATCAATCGAATCCGTTCATTTAACTTTGTACACAATATTTTAAAAAAATGTAAATTTGACTCTTATCAAACCTCAAAATTTGATTTCTATTTCAGAAAATGATATTTCTTCATTTCAAACGAATAAATCACTTTATTGCTCTGATAATTACCTGAACAACAATTCTCTTGCCAAAAGTTTAAAAAACTCTCCATCTTTTATAACAAGAAAAGTACAAGCTAAAACTAAAACTATCAATGGACTCATCAAACTTCATTGAGAATTACTTCTGTATTTATAAGTATTTCAGAAATGCTTTGAATTAACACATGTTTCGAGTATGCTAAACTTCTTTCTTTATTCTTTTTGACCTTCTAAATTCTCACATCATGTAAATGAAGAAGATCGCCAACAATTTTCTTTCCATTTTAAGGACGTTCAATATTATTAGCAATATCGAATTAAATTTTACTCAAATGTCATCGTACTTTTAATACAAATACTTGAAACGCAACTATTTTAAACCCATTTTAGTGGCACAATCAAATAAAAATTAAAAGTTTAACTTTTTGAGGGAGTAAAAATATTCTTGCAGCAAATTCATTCAACCAAAATGCATTTTTTGACAGCTCAGATTATAATTATGTAACGACCATTTAATGCTCACTTGACTCTATTGTTTTTACCTTAGTGCGGTGATCTTTCCACTATCTCAGATTGATTTCCCGACGCCGCTCGACATGTCCTCAACTCTTACCTGCATATTCCATTGCGTGACTCGCACTGCTGGACATCGTCCCAAAACAATGTTTTCGGCGCCGCGGCATTGCAACATTCAAGAGATCCGAAATGCAACAGTCATTCCGTCTTGTGCAACCAAACAATTTGACCATTATTAATTGGATTTTTATTTTATTTCTTGCTATTCATGCAGAAAAAAAATGTCGTAAACAATCAGTGAAAATACGTCCCAACCATTTTTAGTCTTTTAATGAATTTTAAATATTTCTTGGCTTGTATTATCAATCATTAGGGCTGAAATATAATATTAACTCTACCTTTAATCAACTGTTAATATTTGAGGCATTGTAAAAGTTGATGTATTGGTATTTGTCGATTTACAAGGAAAATGAAAGAAAAATGCTTCAATAATTTTCTGGCTTTTCCATATCTGAAAAAAGCTTCTTAAAATCAACCAACCTCAGCTTTTATTCTAGCCTCAGTTGCCTCATATATGACAGAACTTCAAGGCTTGCTCTTTTCGAAATATAGTATTCTATTATTCAGTTTCTGCATTGCGCCGGAAACGTTTAAATTATATTTCGCAGAGGAATTGCGCAAAAAATTTCTTACTTTTGCAGTTCTTTTGTTTATCTTATCTAATTCAATTATGGTTGAACCCTTATTTGTCTTTCCTTCCAACATTCGAATGCAAAAGGATTGGTTAGTAGCTGAGTAATAACCAATTGATGATCAATAATTGCAATATTTTCTAATTCGAAAGGAATATTTCGGAATGCATTAGGTCAATGTCACCATCAAAAATATATCTTCCCATTTCATAATTTTAATGGAAGTTTCGAATATAATTAATGAAATTATGACAAACGATCAATGAACTGGCGGACCGTTTTTCTGAGACACTATCAGATTTCTTCTCTGTATCTTTATGACCTAAAAATAGGTCAAAATAACATCCGAAGCAATTGTACCAATGATTGTTGGAAAACCTTTGATAAGGGCTAACTCCTCAATATTTATGTTTTTTTTTTTTTTTTTTTTAATATTAAATAAAAACACATTTATTTTCATCTTTTTATTTTTAGACACTAAAATTAAAACAATTTTCATAACTAACAGAATTCGATAATAATTAGAAATCATAATGTGAGTGTAATTAAATTTCTAACAAAGTTAATTTCAATTTTTTTACATATTGCGCACTACCTTGCACTTTATATTATTTATGAAGAATGCAAATTTTATTGCACTTTAAAAACGACAATTTTCTCGAAGTTGTTTGTCTTCATGTATTTCATTTTTTGTTTCTCTCTCCCTCCCTCTCTCTCCCTCTCTCCCTGCATCCTTTGACATCGTCTCCATCATTCTAAATACAAGATTTATGCAAATTCATTGCAAGTGGATAATCACTAAGCACCTTAATAATCTAATTGGCATCCTTTTTTAGCGTCAGCACTTATTTCAGGATAAAGAAAAGCCGCATGGTGACCTGATTCCTGAATATTTGGTTGGATGCTTCAAAGAGCTAGAAGCAATTAATATGCTAATTATTATATGCTTCATCTCATAGATTTCAATCAGAGAAACCGATTAAAGAAATAGAAGGAATTATTAGTAATCATGAAATTAAGAAGCTTATTCTTTCCTTTTTTCTTTAATGAAAAGAGGACTGATTAATATATACGTCATTTCAAATGAACATCCCTCTTATGATGGCCCGAGATTAAGTGATACTGTAGCTTCAATAATACTAATTTTCATATCCAAGTTAGCATAACATACATTACTTTTTTTTGTTTCAGTAAATTTTTCAACAAATAAATAAAAAACGATCTTCTTCACGTCGATTTCTCGGAAATTCAGGCAAAATAATTTGAATTTTTTTTAAAATAATCGAATTTGTCATTTCTCACAAACATATCTTTTCTCACATTTTAAAGTTTGTAACCAGAAGCAACTAAAATAGCAAATGCAATTTTAGTTACTGCAAGAAAAAAAATGCCTTTAATTTCATGAAGCGAAAAGAGCGCAATTACTAAAAAAATCGAGAAATTACGAATGCTATTAATTATAATTAAAAGTAAATATCATAATTTGGCCAAAACTTTGTTTTAGTTAATTTTAAAATATTTATTCATTACTTTTAATGTCACTGACCTCACTGCGACATTTATTTAGCAAATGGATAAACCATTCAGCTTATTAAGACAAGTAAGTAAGGTTTAATCATCCTATTTCTTTTTCCTCCTTTCCTTTTCCCTAGTATAAATAAAGAAACCTAGTTTCTAGAATTATTGGCGCTCGATGCACCTGATTTAGCTATCTAATTATGGTAGCAAACAAAGAACAGCTTGACCTCGTTGACCCTTTATAAATTTTCCCGCCCAATAACGTGCTTAATGGACAGGTGGTTCCAATCACTTGCTTTCTTGACGACCTTACAAACAGAACACGATAAATCAGACGTCCTCATAGAAATTTATCTAAAAAAAACATTTTTAAATTATAATCTTCAACTTATAATTGGATATTTATTATTTAGTGTTTCGTACTTATTTTTTACTCATCAAGCAACTTTGAATTATAAAGCTTAATATTTTCCCTGTTTCCTTCACTCTCCTTCAAAAAACAAGATATTTGTGCAATGAGAGGTCAAAGTTTATGAAAGAAATGTGTGACAACTGTAAATTTTGATCAGTATTGCCCTTGCAATTCACTCAACACACTGCTATGTCTACAATGTTCCAATATATTCATTAGTCATTTCAATTATGCATTAATTGACATTTGGCTCGATATTTCTAGAATAAATAGGCAACATTTTGGCGCTCATTCACTCAAAATTTATGGCTTGTTAACGAGGTGGAACACATTCATTAGCGATTCTATGCTGAATATGCGTTGATCGATTGGTATTATTAACCAACCTGAGCAATTTTCATCAGACAGATAAATTTGCATATTTTAAAATATTGAAATTTGTAGTAATAGAAGCAAAAAAAACAAAGCATAAAAAATTTTACTGAAGTTTGAAATTAATCTTCAATTCAGCAAGTGCATTTAAATTTAATAAAAAGTTTTTCTGGAAAGTTGGCAGCTAAGTAAATCATTTTATATCGATAAAATATCAACAATACAATAAGGTAATTACAGAAATATTTTAATTATAAGACCTTTGACTCATTCGTTCGTGATATATCATTGTGTAGTCTTAGTTTATTAGTTTTTTTTTAAAGCATTTTTATGCCTCTTAGCCATTAACTTGAATATTTCATTCATTTACGATATCGAAAGCATTTCAATCTTACAGATAATTCATCGATGATTGAGCTCTTTCCGTTTATCCCGGATTCAATTGCCGCCATGTAGTTATCGTCGGATCCTGCTGTGTAACATGATCCGGAAGGCATGAACAAGCAATATCATATATATTTCCATCATGAATGCTTGTAATTATATGCTTATTGTTGAGGACATCGGTGCTTCTATAACTATTATTAGGAAATTTGTTTCATTAATTGGTACTTTTTGAGAAAAATTTTTTTTAAAAACCTAAAGTATAAAATAAAATAAATTTTTGTTTTGATTTTTTCTTCTCCTAACTTTTTTATATTATTATTTACTTATATGTCTTTGGCAATAAACCGTAATTGCACAAAAATATTATTCTGTAATAAATAATGCGTTAATTCCTGCTGTCTGCTATAACTTCTCATGCTTTAAAATACCATTAATCTAAATTTTTAATTTCACTCAGTTGGAGCACCTAAGGCATATATATAATTTCTCATAAACAGTCATTTTGACAGAGATTTGTTTATTTTTTCATTAATCCATCTAAAGAAAACCCATCATTGGTTGCAAAAACGTTCGTCACGCATGATAAGAGTCGAAATGGCTTTGACAACCTGTTGCGGCATCTTTTGACTTTAACAAACCTTTTCTTTCAGCACGTGACCAAAGAAAGCATAAGTATAGAAGAAACAATCAATTGGAGAATTTGGAAATAAAATTTTTTCATCTAGATTCAAGTGTACTTTTTAATACTTTACTTTCACTTTCATTTCCACTACACATTCGCAATAAAACTAAAGAATTAGCTATGTGGGAGATGCATAACTATGACATATGTATGTAATAAGTCTTTATAAAGTCAAGAAGAATACATCACTTATAAACCTATCTTTAAAAACATTCTAAAGTTGGACGAATTAAACTAATTTCTCCATCAAAAATATACTGTAAGACCAATTCTCTTGATGCTTAAATTTTCCTTTCCTTTTTTTTTTTTTTTTTGAATTTGTAGAATTTCAAATGTCATTATATTAAACAGATTGAATGATTGAATGAAAATATTGCAGCAGCAATTTCAGAGTAAATAATAGGAATAATTAAATTTGAACAATGGTAGTGGTTTTATGGAAAGTGTGAAGATTTACATTGTTTTATAAGTGACATACTGTCCCATCAAGTAAGTATCTTTTTTTCCTCTTTTAACACGCTATCCAAAGGAACTGGTTTTTTTGAACAAAATTTTCAAATCTGCAGATGTTTGAAAATACATCTTTTATGCATACATTTTACAGTTTCTTTATTGAATTATTCCTGTGGTATAGAATGAGATAAATCGTTCATTCATAAACAATTCAGCAAAATTTCATTCAAACTATGTAGTTGACAGGGACTCACAATTACTTCAATTATTCATTCCATTACGACCATTAAATTATTTACTTCAATTCGATTTGTCTTAAATAATTTAGCATTTCAGTTCAATTTCATCCCATCTATTAAATATTTTAATTCAGTTAGATTCATTTTGAGTTAGTTGTGTTTTTATAAAATTTGAAGTCAAGATGAAATGATGAAAGGCAAAAAGAATTATAAAGATCTACCTATTTGTCTGAAGAATTATAAAAAAATTCAATTAAAAATGCCATTGTTTAATTTTTCATTTTTATTAATATTAAAGTACTCATCGATTAACCTATTCAGTTCTTGAAAATCAAAATAAACATTGATCAAGTGGAAATGCAACGTCTAAAAAAATATTTTTATCAAACAGTCAACTTCACTAATGTTTTACTACTCAATTTTGATAAATATTCTATTTAATCTCATGAATTAACTTTTGCTGCTTCTATTGCTTATTGTTTGGCCAAAAGCAATCTTTTGTCTTATCATGGACTAGTTCCATGATAAAATGTCCTGATCAATCAAAAGTTAAAATCTGACAACTAACTGTTTGGTATTGGTCACTTGTTTTCTAAAGAAATTGGTTTAGCAATAAAGGAAATATATCGGAATAGATCGTCAGTTTTATTTGTAAGTGTGATCACAGTTGTTCGAGTGGAAACGTATCTGTCCCTTGCGTTTTGAATATTCGGTAATCTGGATGACATCTGCTCCTTTACTCATCCATGAAGTTTCTCTTTATTTCACAGAATTAAATGCAGCAAAGGTGCATAGCGAACTATAATTATTACTCTACAAGTTCAAATGCATCTCATCTCAGTCACTCTCCAAGTACTGGTAATATAGGTAGTAGAACATATAATAATTAAATTTACTGCAATTTTAGTTTAGTTACATTATCAGCTTCAAACTCGTTAGTAAGAAGTAATGAAATTAAGAAATGCTTATTAACTTTGAAAACATTTTCTGTTATTACTAAAGCATGATAAACTCGAACTTGTTTGATAAAATAAAAAAAAAAAAGTTGTTTGATAAAATATAACCAATACGATATGATAGTTCTTTTTATCTAATACCTGCTTTTTTTTTAGAGATCTCAAATTAAATTTACTGCAATTTCAGTTTAAGTTTATTATCGAAGCTTGTATAAAATCTTTCAAATGATAGCAGTGACAAAAACGCCGTTGCTATGCAAATTGCTGTCTGTGTAATAGCAAGGGAAAGACAATAAACGTGTGCAATTTATTTGAAATGATGCTCAATCGGGAAAGGAAACCGGGGGAAAATTATTGCAATTGCATTCAAGCTTTTATGACTCATACTTTAAGGAAAGAGAAAGAATTTTTTAATATTTTCTTAGATCCAATCTTTTCTTAAGATTCATTTTTCCTTAATTAAGACTCATCTTCCATTAATTAAATAGCTAAATAGTTTACTAATTTGCTGTTCAACATCTTTCAGAATTATTTAAATTTTCAATTCTGCTTTATTCTATTTAATCAAGCAATAAATCATTGGTAAGTGACATGTAATAGATGAATGCTTGGATCAGTAAGGTTCTAATTGTAGGATTTGCAAATTTAGCCCAGACTGGGCTAAACTTCAAGTACATAAGGAGACACAACACTTCTGGCTAGAGGAACAGTTAGCTTTAGGCTTAGCCATCTTCTCTATCGTAAGTTAGCCAATGATGAAGAATTTCAACACGTAACTTTCTTGCGGTTATTTCATTGTCAAACAACTATAAATAAACAAATGGTCGATTTATATGGGAGTAAAAAGCATTCGGAGGACGTTTGCATATGGTAATCCATCAAAGGGTGCACGAACGGTAGGGGCGTGGTTGTCTTCCAAATTGCGCCAGTTGCAGCCATCAGCGCTCGCTCATCTTTCCATGAGGCCCATCACGGGACGGTTCTTTCTCCGGTTCAACTAAAACTTATTACTTACTTAATTTTCCTTGGTTCTTGTCCACTTAATTTGATAGCCTAGCTCCTTAAGCGATTATTTAAGAAATCGAAATGCATAACCATTGCTTTTCTATAGCATACACCAAATGTAATTCAGTTCTTTCAGTGTTATCCGCTATTTTTCCTCACTATTGCAGTCTAATTAACGATCACTTTACCGCTTTACGATCATTTCATCACCTTGCAAAAGAATTCGAAATTCACTAAATTTAATCCTATTTGACAAAAGGATAATTAAGATATTCAGAACTGTCAAATGTCTCAGTAAGTTCTAGCGATCAGAAAAATTCTGAACAGTTAGATAGCATAACAGACGATGTAATTTAAATAAAATGTAGAAAAATTCAAAATACCGTTGGTTTTGTTGAAATTATTTTGCTTTTATATTTCAGATTCTCTTCCTTGTGCTATTATCAGCCAAAATTGCTACTGAATTTTAATCGTTGCAAACTGTTACTGAGTGCCATCAGGAGGTATTTTAGATGAGGATGCGAAATGCATTCAACACAATGTCTAATACTGCTACTAGTAGTGACTCTACAAGTCGGATACGACTTAGAAAGTCTAAAACTGGTGGTACAACGACGAAATTACCACATCAGGTGCTTAGGAGAAATGAGCGAGAAAGGAAACGTGTCCAACAAGTTAGATTTCTTCTTTTATTTCATAATTTCAATTAACTTTTTTCTATTGTTTGATACAAGTATCTTTAAAATTAATTTTTTGTCAATTGAAATGTCCTCACTTCCTATTTCACTAAATATTTGTACACTAAACAGTGATTTTTTTCTCTCGATTACAGACAAATAATGATTTTTAAAATGCCAGTAAGAGGCAGTTATGTGTATTGCAGGTAAATCTTGGATTCATACATCTTCGCGATCGGGTACCTCATTCGGCAACTAGCAAGAAATTGAGTAAAGTGGAAACGCTTCGTGAAGCAGCCCGGTATATTAAGCATTTGCAAGATCTGCTTCAAGGTACCTCCGATAAACCATTCGAACCTTTGAATACCAACCAAGAACCGCAGAACTCCCATAATATTCCTTGTTTCTCAGAAGAAAATCACTATCCTTCGGCAGATCAAGCAAGCGGAATTTGTCAATTTGCTTGCAGTAATGATTCCTTTTATTATCAACCTTCTCAAGCTAATAATTCCTCTCTTTATTATAAAACACCAACCTCATTTAACCCTAATAATGCAGTAGTAAAATCTGAAAATGAATCTCTAAATACATCTTCTTATTCTTCGTCTTCCTTAAGTTTCTCTGAGATCACACGCTTTCAACGAACCGATTATGTATTGTGATAGCTGATATTCTTTTAACTTTTAAAACCAAATCAGTAAATTTGAAATTTTCAAAAAATTTGTGAAATACCAAAATTTTAAAAAATAAGTAATCTCTGGCAAAAAAAAACCTGAAAAAAACAGGAATGATTTAATTAAACTGTAAGAAATAAGTAAGAAATAAAAAGTAATCATAAGCTCAGTCATCATTTATTAATCGTTGACAGAAATAAAACTTTCGAGACAAAGATAACTAGTCACTTTAGAAATATTTCCTTAACATGCTGCTGGAAATACATTTTGTAAAAATAAGCTTACTATTCGACATCAAACTTTGAAAATAAAATGCAGTTATTTTGTTGCCTTTATCTTCATAATATAAATTTGCAATTTTCTCAGTTTTCCATCCTTCGCCTTATTATAACTTTTAATTATGTGAATGTTCCATTTGGTTTCTATGGTTCATCAATTCAGACTGATCACTGAATAAAATTTGAAAGAATAAATTTCGTTGACAACGCAATTTATCAAAAACATAACTACATCTATATATTTTCAAAGTCAGAAAACGAACTTTTGTGATTTTTTCAAAAATCTCATAAAAATTTAAGAAAAATATAGCATAGGCGGTATTGGTATGGTTCTAATGAGCTTTTCATTGTGCAAACATAAGTGTTACTGTTTTTGGAAGAAATGAAAAAGCGAAAAGTGCAAGTGAAAAACATTAATCAAACTAAGTGGTATGGTTTGGCACAGCATACAATTTCATTATTTCTAATAGCATTTTCATGTTATCATTTTGTTATCGTTTTAAAACTTCCTTTTTATTTCAAAGTTTGGAATTTAAGCTCAGGGAAATGAATTGAAAACTGAAATGACGCAGTTTAATTCTTTTATTTTTTTGCCTTTCCTTTTCAGTCAAAATGTCTTTCTCTACCTATTAGATATGGAAAGACATTTTAGAATTTCAGATTTCAAATTAATGGTAGAAAGATGCTTTGCGTGACATCCAACTGATAATGCTTCCTGGAGTTCATGCAGTAAATACATGATGTTTGCAAAATTCAGTTGATCGAACATTGGCATATCAAAATTCTAATTTTATGGAGAAAATTAAAAGGTCAAAGGGTCGCTGGAATACGATGATGACACATGGATGATCAAGAAGGATTAATGAGATATTCAATCACGAATGAGAGAATGTATATTTGATGAATGAGCCTTACTGTGCACATATATAAGCTAATCATAGAATGACTCATTGCTTACATGATAGATAATGAGTAATTTGGTACTTAATAACAAATCACGGGACTGAAAACTTTGCTTCCACTTCTGTTTAGAATAGAATGAGAAGAGAGAGGGAGACAAAGAGAGAGAGAGAGAGACAGAAAGAAAGAAAGCAGTTCACTCTGATCTTCCCTAATAATGGATTAATCAATAAGATGACTTCAACATTAAGCTTACTTTTAAGCTTTCTAACTAATTTCTTTTGTTATCACATGGTATTTACTACCTATTCTTTCATTTTACTATGCAATTAGCTCATTCTTCCATATATATTTTCTTTTTATAACTACCATAGCTGAGCTAAATTTTTAGGCAGTATTAAAGTTCTTTCAAAATTTTTAAAAGATGCAAATTAAATGTATTCCAGAATTTTCTGAAAACTAGAGGTGGCTCACTAGTGACCACCAACTTAGTCAATTGATTATTATTCTAATTATTTTTGTGTACTATTTTTGGCGCATGTCTTTCTATAAACGTTATAATTATGATAATAGTATATATTTGCAGGTGTGCATTGCGGCAAATCTCATTTTCAATCAAATCTAGTGGAGCAATATTTTGACATTTTCACCATCTTAGGAGTATTATTTTAATCTTGAGAAGTAAGCGATATTCTCCACCTTAGATAAACAAGGAGCAAATTCAGCAAGTATTGCGTGATATGTTGTGCGACCACAAAATATATCAACAAATTTCACATCTTTTGTTTATTGATCAGTATCTTTGTGGTAGTATTTTGTTGTGTATAGAAAAAGTTGTTGTTCTACTGGAAAATTCTTTTTCGTCCCAATTAAAATTATTTATTTTAAGTTATATCAACTTGACCCGATTTCTGTAACTTTTTATTCTTCAGGTGTTAAGTGCAATAATGAGCAATAAATAAATTAGTAAAAAATATTGCAGATGCTTGCATTCATTTCGTGCAGCGCTAAGTTGCGTAATGCACAGTCATATCACGTAAATTGCATGGTGCACTATAAATGTTCTTTATATCTGTAATTATTCAAATTTTGATGCAAATTTAGGTAGAGCAGATAGGAAGAAACAATTCCTTGGAACGTATTGTGAAGAGAGAAACGGTAATGACGCAACTTACTAATTATGAGCTAGCATAAATTGTTTTCCTTGCTGTGCTTACTGTGTACATGATGCATGAATTGATTATTCCCAGCTGGAACGTTTGATTAGTCAATGAATTCGAATTGATTTTTAAATAATTTCAATTAAATATTCGTATTAATATTTCATTGAATTTCATTGAAATTAGGCTATATATGTTGGCATTAAATTAAAAATTTTTCTTTTCCGCCTCTTCGCATAGTGCACGAAATACTGAAAAATCTGAAATAATATTTAACGGAAAACCATGAATTAAATTAATGCTTAATAATGCTTGTTATTTGGTAAAATCAATTAGTGTCGGAGATGACCAACTGATTTGAAGTCTCTATTTATATTTCACTGTCTCACATTTACATTTCGTGAGAGGTGGTTGTATTAGCTTACGTAACATTAATTAATTTAACCTAAATTTGAATTTCAAAAGTTGAAGGAACTAGACTGCTTTTATAAATTACGATTACACAATTGCACAGGTAATTTACAAATTGAAACCTTGTGTTTCAGTCTGTAAATTTATTTATGTAAGCAAAAAGTTTGATTACAAAAAATTTTCATCACAGTGAATCAATTTGATGACTGGCAACAGTCACTACCCGTGCAGACAATACCCGTACCCGTACTTTTACCTTTACCTTTACCACATGCAGTGCTATGGTCTCTTCGCACGAGAGTGTTACAATAATAGTCGGCCTCATTATCGAGCTGTTGTTACCCTTTTACAACGGCATAGTATTCAAAAAACAACAATTGAATTAAAATAAACTATTCGGAGGTCAGTCGTGTCCATTGCTCCAACAACGATCTATCATTGATATCATCGGTTAATGTCATCAAATAAGCCAAACGTGGGCTGATATGAGTAGAAAAATTATATTATTTTTTTTTAGATACAAATTTATTAAATTATAGCAAGAGCAATTGCTAATAAATAATCACAAAGCTACTAAAATTATGGAAATTTCATGAAATTAGCTATGAAGTAATTGCTACGTAAAGAGTTTTAAATGAATAAATTATCTTAATTTTAATTTGTGTTAAATATCCATCAGTAAAGTAAGACGACAAATTACCTACCACTCAGCACTCAGCACTTGTCATTCAATGCTTCGCTGATTTTATCATTAGTACCATATGCGTGGAAGAAATTGAGCGTAATTTAGGGATAAGCAGCAGTAGACCTCCCGGTGCCATAGCTCATATTTCGTCTAAACTGATTGTACAATTCCCATGCACTCAAGGAAGCACCAACAAAGGTATGTACTTCGGTTACAATTATCTTCACCCATCTGAAGATCTGCAATAACACACTGTTTGCAATTTGGTTGTCTTCCTACAAACTTTGTCAAGTGCTAAATCACTGATACATTTTAATTGAAATTAGTTAAATATGTACCACTTCCATCTATTATATACAATTTTAACTCACTTTTTTCTTTTCTTTTTTTTTGAGAGAGAATGAAAATGAAAAAAACGATCGATCATTAAGCAATTATAATTAGTAACTTAATTTAATTCAATAATGCTGTAGTTGAATTAACTGAGTTAACATGAAATCATGACATTAACATGACTTTTCAAAATTCCTTTACTTCCATATCCTATCCTCCTGGTAAATTTGAGTGTATAAAAAAGATATCCCAAATTAAGTGGTACTTAAGTGGTCTTTGTTTATGAATGTGTGAAGAGTCAGATATGATATTATTATTAATAGAAAAATACGGGATATCATGGATGAATTGGTTGAAGAGATGTTGAGTAACGGATATCAAGGAAGCAGGTGCACCTTGATCGCTTCTCTCTACCTCTTCATACAATTCATTCAGTTAAGATTACTAAGAGTTTTTCAGATATTAATTGAAATCGAAAGACTTTTTCAATAATTTTATTCTTCATCTTAAATTGTTTTAAAATAACGAAAGGTTTAATTCTTTTTAATTATTTTCGTTAAATACATTTTTCTTTTTTGGGATTACATTGATAAATTTGCTATTTTGCTGATTTGTGTAGGTAACTAAATCGTCAATACGATCAGTAGTAATGGGAGTAGCAGTATAACTGTTCCTATCTATAATCCATACTACATATTAGCGCACTTTACCCATCATAGAAAAGACTTCTAAAGACCAAAAAACAACTTGAATACTAGGTTTTTGTTAAGATCATTAAGTTAGCGACTAGTTGCGTCAACTAATCATTGCTTTTAAATTTGTGCAAGATTCACAACTTTTTAATTTCTTGGTATTATTACATGAATTGATAATTTAATCTATAAATGTTTTAATCAATAATAAGGAGCGTATATCCTTCATATTTCAAGGTTGATAGCCAGTTGATTCTGACAATTTGATTATCACTATTGAGATAACCATTGAGAGCATGTCGTCTTATGAAACCTAATATACATCGAATGCCAACAAGAAATAGCAAACTCACTCCTTTAGATTAACAAGGATTCATAAAGAAGGAACATTAATTGGACAAATGCAACGATGGGCCATAAAAATGACCGGAATGACAATAGCTCTGATGGCTCTGTGAAACCACTGAGATTGGATCTATTTGCGCAAATGATCTCATAAAAGTGAAGTGGTGTGATATATATGCATGTA